GTACCACGCCTTTGACAACACTCGGAAAGACACGGAAGACAACACACAAGTACCCGAGCTGATGGAAAAGGTGGAGGAAATGATAACTGACAACCAAGGTTTGTTTTTCACATTAAGTGATGTTCCTCGAATCTTGTGCGGTGATACACAAAATAATAGTACTGTATGCGGAACTTAACTTCTGCAGTTTTTGTATTATGACGTGTAATTACACTAATTGTGTTATAGAAGTCATTGGAAACAGTGGATAATGTTTTGTTGCTGTCGTGCAGGCTGGTACTTTGAGGTGAATGAGTTGATTTTACTGGAAGAAGAGCAGGCCAGGAGAGCTCTGGAGGAGGAGAGGATGAGGATGGAGGAGCACGCTAGACAGAGGGAGCAGATGATTGGAGGACCTCCCAGAGGTATGAGGGAGCTGGATGTGTGTGTTAGTGAGTGTTGATGTGTGTAAGTGAGTGAGTCATGCGGCCATAATACTGCTCCTAGGAAAAAAGACCTGTTGGTGTTCTGGGAAACAGTTTACTCATTAGATGGTAAATTATTTTATTCCTAATGGATTTGCTTTCTCTCCCCATCTTACTCTCCTCGTCTCATTCTTTCTTTGTCTACCATTCTGTCTGTCTTTCTGGGTTTACAGAGTTGAGACTGCTCTTGTTGGGCTGGAAGGGCGTTGGAAAGAGCTCGGTGGGGAACTCCATCCTGGGCCGTCGGTACTTTGAGTCAGGCCAGGAGACGGAGTTGTGCCTTAGGAGGCAGGCGCTCGTTTCCGGTCGTCGGATCACTATTGTCGACACCCCGGGCTGGGATTGGTTCTCAGTGAGGCGAACCCCGAAGCGCATCCGCCAGGAGTCCCAGCGCGGAGCTGCCCTCCTGCGACCTGGACCCCACACCCTGCTGCTGGTCCTCCCCGTCGTCTCGTCCCTCACTGCCAGGAAGCGGCGAACGCTCCTGGCTCACATAGAGACTCTGTTCGGTGACACTGCGTGCCTCCACACCATGGTGCTGTTCAGCTGTGGTGATTGGCTGGGCCGCACGCCCATCGAGGAGCACATCCTGAGAGGTGGGCGGGAGCTGCAAAGACTACTCGAATTCTGTGGGAACTATTACCACGTCCTGGACAGTAAGACTCCTGGAAAGGACAGGAGTGTGTCAGTCCTCCTGGATAAGATAGAGGAGATGATCAGAGAGAACGGTGACAAGGCTTTTCTCCCCATACAGACCGAGTGGTGTAAGTCACACAATTTTATTCTCACATATATTTTCCTGTATTTATATTTTCTGTCTTATGTTGCAGTGAAAACAGACATATCTAAACGTACATGTATGTCTGTGTGTCCAACCACTGAAATTTCTTACCATACATCCATCTAATGTATGTGTTGCATTTGACAGTGAGCGAGGAGAGCTCATACTCTTCTGACAACACCGAGCCAGAGGACGACTGTCGAGGATGCCAGCTGCAGTGACCCGCTCGCACTAAAAGGAAAGTGGTCCCGCTTTTTATCATCGTTCTGAGTCTCCAGCAGACCCGAAACATCACCATGTGTAACTTGAACCTCATCTAGATATCCTGTTCAGACTCTGAAGAGTTTTCGGGAAAATTAAATGAGTAGCTTTTTGTTAGAACTGTAAAGACCAAACTCACTGATTGCCGAGCAAAGGTCGACCCCGGACTGAGAGTGCAAACACTCCTCGAACCCAAGAGGAGGAGGAATATCCTGCTTCTGCTTCAAGGGACCAGAGTTCAGTCCCTGTCCATGAGCATGTACACAGATATCAACTGCTGCTAAAGAGACCTTCTTTCCACACTGCGGAGTAATGAATTACTCGTCATTGTAACTATGTTCAGACTGCACTGATAAACTTTGTATTACAAGTTGAAAGCGTAAAATCAAAACCAAAAGGGATATGCTTAAAAAGGCAATATTATCATGACTAGTGAGATTGGGTGGTAGGACTCAGGTCTGCCAGAAGTTTGTCACTCTTGGTTACTGTAAGACTAAGAGGATTGTTTCTGTGTGTGACTTGTACCATGACTTTTACGTCATCCCCCGTTCTGCATCAAGTGCCATTTCTGTCATTCAGTTCAAAGTAGTTTGAATCAACAAGCGTTCAAAGGAAAAGGTTTGAGTGAATATACCAAACCAAAACGTGGACAGTGTGACAAAAGATAATAACGTGTACTGGAACGTGTGCACACTAATGTAACAGAAAAAAGAAGTGAGAAGGGTCTTTAGATGTAAAAGTACAGACATGAAAAATACGATAAGGCTCTGCTCTTTCACATGACTCATACTAAATCCCTTTTCGGTAACATTTGGTTAGTTTCTGCTCAGGGAGTCAGGATTGAAATGCTTCCTCCAGGACAAAATCTGGTACATTTAAAGAATTGTTGATTAATGCTGATTGCCAAACTGCAGACGTAAGTCATATAAAAATAAAAATTTTTGAAGAGAGAGAAGAGAGTCATTGTTTGCACTTTGGTTGGAATTGGTTCATTTTGGTTCTCTTGTGCTAAAGAAGATCAGTTGAATAAGGAAGGAAGGAAATATAGTCATTCTTAGCTCACCTCTGCTGTAGCATTCATGCACTGGAGGAGCTCTAAAAACAGTAATGAAAGGCTGAAACTGTGTGCAGTCACAGATCCCCGCGGAGCAGCTTGGGCTGGCTCCGCTTCGCTGTCTCTGGTCACACATCCAGTGCATTTATCGACAAGGTAGAAACAGCTACGTGCCTCAGCATCAAAGCGTGAGAGTGGGTGTACGGCCCTGCGGCAGGGCAGTACCCTCTAGGCTACATCCAGCTTTCGCATGCTACAGAAACAACATAACCTCATGAACCACTCGAGCTCAAATAGGGCTTTTACTACCTTTTTCTACATCATCGAGACATCTGTTCCTGACGTCGACAGCGGCGTTTTGAAAAAATAATATATATATGTATTCAACTCTCAGAGGCATGTTAAGACATCGCATGCAGGACAACGCGTGCCTATAGAGTTGAAGGCAACCTCACTTCTTATTCCCCTGACTCTTGCTTGAGCAAGTCTATATGGGGATTTCTGGTAAAACATCACATCTTCTACCTTTACAACTGCAAAAATGAAAGAAAAAGAGAATTCGTGCTCTGAAATGTACAAATAAAAGCATATATAATGTGTGACCGATACCACTGCCATGCTGTTAAATTTTATTTTTACAAACCCTGACACTGCTTCCCCTATGCTTTACTGACTCTGTGCTTCATCCTGTGATGTAGGCTAACACAGCACTAAGTGACAAGCATGACTTGACAATTTGATATGATGTTTAAAACATTCATTTGGAGTCTTACAGTCCCACTTCACCTGTGAATATATTGTATAAGCCGTGTATATTTACAGTGTAAAATATGTTCCATTGTACTTTTAGCCAAGCATTTTTCACTGTGTAGATTCTACCACTTTATTGTAGCCAAAGTGACGTTACTTCCTGTGTGGTCCTTCCCAAATGGTGATTGCATCATCGCTACTCTGCACATCCTCAGACAATAAAAGATATGGATATATTGTTGTGTATGTTTGGCTTTCATCATGTTATTGACCTATTTTTTAATCTGCCGTGCACTTTGCTCTCATCGACGGACTGCAGTACTGTCCTACAAGACAAAAGTCATAATTATTCTGACATGCAGTGGATAACTCTGTGGTGGAAGTAGTAATTGTGGAGTCTCATCACTTGGTGGCGCGGTAGCAAGTAGATTTGTCTGCCACCCACAGAAATACTGCCTGTGTGGATAATTACATTCCTAGGTCAACGGTTTAAGAGTGTTTAATAAATTAATAAAAAGAAATCCAAGGATTTTATGTGGAACCTTTATATTGTCTGGCTTAGGTAGAACAAAGGCCAAGGCAAAATAAAAGCTTTTTTCTAAATTCATCAAGTTTACCTTGCCAAAAACTATTGTCAGTACATACAGTGGGCATACAGTACTGCATTTTGTAGGGTTGTATTAATCCTGGTAGCCTTATCTAGTCAGGTAACCATGTCTCAAACAACTCTATACAAATAAGATGTGGCCTTTCATGAATATTGTTCTGAAAGTAATAATCTGATAATTATCCCTTGAAAAATAAGGACATTCCACCAGGTTTTTCAGGAAGAAACGTTTTTCCTGTTCTAAGTAGCTCTGCACCATCTTGACTTTGGCATGCCTCCAGATATAGATCGTCCCTAAGCTATCTGGAAAAAAGCCTGGGCCAATTACAGCGTGAACACCTAGGGCCAGTTGTTAGCTGAACGTGCGCATTTTTGTTGGTGATATTATTCAAGCTGTGCGTAGGTCAGCACTTCCTCTTTTTTTTTTTTCTCTCATTGTCACACAGATTAATAAATCCATGTGTATTCTTTAAAGCATCACTATACACTTCAGCTAGTGTCTTAATTTAGTCATCAGCAGACGGACAGAACATTTTTGAGACTGGTTTACCTTGTATTGACAAATTTCATTTTAATTCACATGACTGTCAGTTGACTGAACAACCACGTGTCTGCAGCACAATGCTGATCAGGCGGGCTCCATGATCCTCTTTCTACTTTGTTTGAAAGAGGACGGACATCTGGACCTCCACACACACATGATGTATTATCAGGCCGGGAACAAAAACTGTGTTTGGGACTAGGTTAGGTTCTGAACAGACTAAAACAGGTCAAACCTGTGCTTTACTGATCCTGTTATGTAAAAATCTCCTGCACTGTATCCTTTGACTGAGTTCAGACCGGTGGTTTGGCCTTCCAAGCCAACCTTACACAGTAGGGTACATATAAACTGGCATTTATCATCTTTCATGCCTGATCACACTGCATTAATCCTCTCGAACAGTTCCTATTGTGCTAAGTGATGCGTACATTTACACAGCTGTTATAATGAAATTACCCAAAATATCCTATAGCAACCATTCTACTGCTATCCTCCCAATATAAATTATTGATAGCCAGAGGGAAAAACACCAAAGACAGTAATAAGATTCAAGACTCTTTATTGAGAGATAATACATGATTTGGTTATAATATAATACATACAGATTTTATTTTATTTTTTTAAAAGGACATCCTACTGGCAAGTTAATGAGGTCCACAGATTGGAAAAGTGTACAAACATTACAAGAAACAGCACACAAGATAATATTCTGAAGGTTGTAGAATACTTGTTTCCATAGATCTACTCTAAACTTGACTATAGTATTCTAAATGTAATACCAGTGTTAAATTTTTAAAAAGATGTTCCCACAAACATTGAACAGAACACAAACTTTACTTATTTGCATGAAATAAATGAATCTTTCTGAATTGTCACATACCAAACACACTGTTAGGTCTCACCTCTAGGGGTCATCACTAAGACCTTTTTTGATCTTGGCCTGACGGACCTCCTCCATCAGCTCTTTCAGGTACTCGATCTCCCTGGCCATGGACTCTGCCTTCTCAGTCAGCTCCATGTTCTTCCTCTTCAGGCGTTCATGCTCTTTAGTGATGGACTCCTGCTCAGCTCTCTTCTTCTGCCTGTAACGTGTGGCAGCTGTCTTATTCTGCTCCATCTTCTTTAATTTCTTGGCCTTTGTTGCTTTCAAAGGTGCCCTTTCATCTCCACCTGCACCCCCGGGGGACTTGACTTTGACACTGGTGGCGCTGGGGGAGGGTGGACTGGCTTTATATTTGGGCTCAGGGTAAGGCCTGCTTCTGGAGGACTTTGGTGGAGGGGAGGAATGGATGACCTCTGATGGGGTAGTTACAGTGGTGGTGAATGAAACTTCATCTTTGGGAGCCAGAACGAGGACAATGCGGGTTGGTGAAAGGGAGAGTACTATCCTCGGGACCTGAGGGATAACAGAAGCCACAACTGGCTTCACCTCACTCTCTGAGACGTCCACTTCACTGCCTAGGTCCAGGGTGTAGGCTGGGGAGGACGGAGAATCAACCAAGTGTGGTGACGGGGCTGGAGAAGCAGGCTCAGATTTGATTTCCAGCTCCTCCTGTGGCTCTGGGACAAACAGAGCAGGTGAAGGAACATCCTGCTCATCAATGTGGGATTCTGGCTCATCCAGTGTAATGACAGAAGGCTCTGTACAGACAGTGGGAGGGGTGGGAGGAGGATTACTTGAAAGAGAAGCGGAGGGAAGACTCGAGAGCACAGGAGTTGAGAGAGCGGGCATGGCGAGGGAGTCAAGCTCCATGGGGCAATCCAGGGAGGCGAGGAGGTCTTCTGGAGAGCTGCGGGACTCTTCAGTAGGACTGCAGGAGCCAATCAGAGAGTCCAGGTCAAACTCGCTCAGATCCACCCTCTCGGCCATCCAGTCAAGGTCACCGAACACATCCTCTGTGGAGGCAAATCGGGCATTATATTGATGAGGCTCTAGGCATTTTGAAGGGTATAGAGTGCTTTCCGATTATTAAGACTGAACACCATCATTACCTTTGCCGTCATCCGATACCGTCCGTCTCGGCTGTTCAGGGTGGCCCAACCAGGGGAGGGAGAGCAGGTCCGACTCAGTCCCAGCTTTGTCCTCACGGAGGAGGACGGCCGGTGGCGAGGTAGGAGGAGAGTAGAAGGGAGGAGGAGAGGAGGAAGAAGACAGCGACGAGGAGGTGAGGGGTGAAGCAGGTGAGGTGTCCCCCTCAAATGAGGTTCCTCCTCTTTCCTGTTGTTCTCGATCAGGGTGAAAAGACAGGAGGTCCATGGCGTCAGCCATGAGAGAGGAAGGTCCCAAGAGAAGGGCCTCCATGTCGTCCAGGCCAAACAGTGAGTTTGTCTTCATCATGGTCATAATGGCTGTTGTTGGTCACGAAAGGAGTGCGTGACGAGGCTAGGAAAGTTTCGAACTCTTTTATGCTGTCGAATGCAGCAACGGTGAGGGTTTCCACGAAGGACCTGAGGACAGAGGAAAAATAAGACATTTCAGTTTAAAATCTGAACATGTCAAAATAAATTATAGTTAATAAAGCCTATTAAAAGACTATTTACACCTGTGTGCGGAAAGACATTGTGTGGATAAAAAAAATTAAATATACTGTTAGGATATAAATAATGATTCTGATCTCAAAAGTAATGACATTTTTAGCACAACACTGCCCCCATCACTGCAGTGCACCTGCTACACATCACGTGTTTCCACCCAGCCGCCAGTCTTGTGACTCTGACGTCAGTCCGTCTCTAAACCGGTTCACCCTCCCTTTGTTCTGACTGCGCCCATGAAGCCGCCATTTTGACACAACGAGGAAATGAACCATTTTCTGACTGCCACGTTGGCACGCTGCAGTCGTGACAATAACGCAAGGTGTTATCTAATCATTATACTGACGATTAAATTAAAACAATTTAACAGTTTAGTCAAATACAAAATGCAGTTTCATACTAACGTCATGTCATCATTTGCTATTCCTTATATAACGTTATTAAGTCAAGGTCTCCAAGTACTCTACGATTTAGATCGCGTCTCATTAATTGTAAAGGTCAAATTAATAATAACTGGGATTCAATCAAATCTATTTTCGTGATAACATCAGGCTGCTGAGGCGCACGGCACTGTAACGTTAGGCCAGACAGCTGTCATCGACCAAATGTTCTAAAAAAAAAAAATAATACTTACGACATTTTTGCTGAATTAGAAGTGACTCAGTGCACTGGCTGGATGCACTGTGTTGTTGGCGGCTGGGTCGCGGCACACTTTTACACTGCCATTTCGGCCAAGAGAGTGATGTTCAACAATGCTGTCACTTGGTTTGTTGTTCCTCTTGAGGAAAAATGGCGCACGCAGCGGCGAGGTGTTAGTAAAAAGCAGGGAGAGGAGGTATCCTTCCGCAGTGCCCACACTATCACTCCGCCAGTGTTTGTGTTCCGCATTCCGCACCGACGGTCTGCATCCCAAAAAGTAACAACTGGTGCTTAACTAAATTAATACAACATTATTTTACTTATGAGAGTGATTTTCATTTATAAGGCTATTTATTATTTGTAGTAGAACTACAATCTTGAACAACTCCAGCTTAAATAAATCACACATTATGTTTTACAATTACAAAATGTTTATTGAAAAATAAGTGGCAGGCTAAATAAGGCATTTTATTACCAATTAAACCAATTAAAACATTATTAAACATCTCTTTCTCCCTGTCTCACCACACACAGGCACACAACACAAGACAACAAGAAGTTCTTTGATTCAACCAAACATCTCCCACATTTGATTCAGGTGATCTAGTTCATCCTGCAGATTTTCAGCCAGCAGGCGAACTCTACCTGAAAACCTGCTCTTATTTGACTTATTCAGCTTCTGACCATCCTTCTCTGAAAAACACAGATCCATTTCCTTAGCAAAAGCCTGAATCAGTTTCTCAGATGACACCCCACCAGCGTGTGAGGTGTCTTGGTTCATGCCAAACACAGACTGTGACAGATGTGCCATCTTCAGTGCATCAGGCGGTGCTCCTGCCCTTAGTAACCTGAGAATGTTGTGCCTTCGCAGCTCATTCATCCCAGAAAGGATAAAATCCAGACAATGTTCCACATCAATAATATTTGCATTATATTCGCCTACTAGTTTCTCAATTGTCTTCCTATCCACAGTCTTCTTATTGGCAATAGCTGTGTGGGCACCTATACCCCCAGCAGACGCCACCATACCAGCACCAATAGCTGTAGCAATCAGCGAGGCACCCAGGGTTATAGGGGCAAAGGCGATACCCACCATGGCAGTCACCCCTCCAACAGCACCTGTGGTGCCTCCTGCAACGCCCATGTTTTTATTCATCTTCTTCATCTTGTCCAGGCCGTCTGAGATGGAGATGAATTCTGCGATGATGTCCCGCAGGCCTCCGTTGCGTTTTACCATGAGAAGGTTGTAGATTTGCAGGGCCTTTCTCACATTCATGGCTCTCTGACTAAATGATCTGCATAGGGACAGAAAATACTGCTTCTTCATCCAGCTCATTCAGTTAAATTCAACATTAATTCTGAAATAGTTTAGCCCATTAACTTCAATTGTAACAAATTTTAAGTTGTTATGTAGAAATATTTTAACAGGAAACTAATGGCACCAAATTGCAGAGGTGGGTGGAGTTGCCAAAATTGTACTCAAGCATAAAACTAGGCTAATGTTAATTTGCAAAAACAGGTACTCAAGTAGAAGTAAAGGTGGTCATCTAAATAACTACTTGACTTAGGGTTTAAAAGTAAGAATATTTACAGTATGGCAGAAAGCAGGAGGAGTTTTGAAGCATGATATACTGTGTGTAGCTATTTATTAATAAACATATTAGCAGTAAATCTGTCAGCTCAGTGTCAGCACGGTTCTCTGATGTACTGACTTCACAACCAGGCTGGGTGCACTAAATTTTTTATCTGTAAATATTAGCTGCTAGCACTATTTGAAAACCATACTGCTGCTGTAATCATGCTGTAGCTTCAGCCATTTTTCTGCTCTGAACAGAGTCATGTGGATGCGTGACTGTGGTAGCATAACAAAGCACAAGCAGACTTGGGACCAGCTGACCACCTGCTTCTTAAAAGATCAAGAATGCATAAAATAATACATAAATAAAAGTAGCACAATGAATGTAACTAAATGTAGCTGAGTAAAAGCAAAATTTTTTCTCTAAAAATCTACTCAAGTAAGAGTAAAAGTAAAAAAAACAAACACACTTTACTTAAAAAGTTACTTGAGGACATGTAACTGTGTAAATGTAAATAAATGACAAATGTTTTTGTGTGGTTACCTCATTTCCTCGCCTATACTGAGGCCATACAATGATGGAACCGTGAAATTGGATTCTGATGGAGTGACAGCACAGAGATGATTAAATACTGTACACCTTGGTCACACTCTTTGTTACTGACTTACATTTTTGTGTATTTTCCGCATGGTTAATTTCCTTTTAAATTAATTGATGCAGATTATTGGTAGTCAAGGAATTAAGAATAAATATAAAATATGACACACACCAAAGTTTGGTGCTTCTTCATTCTTCAAAAACAATTATACAGTATCTAACAAACAAAAGGTTGTACTCACTTGACACTCTTTTCAACCATGTCAACATCCCGTTGATGTCCTGAGGAAAATAGGTTAATTTCTTTAAAAATAATAATGATAATAAACCGTTGCAGAGAGACAATATATTTTATTCATGAAACAACTTTAAACTAAATTGTGTTTATTTGAAGGTGAAGGAAAGAATGTAGAACAACCCTACCTCTGTGTCCTCAGTGGTCTGTTGATGAGAAGTGGAGCAGCCACTCTGGTTGTGTTGTCCGGAAGGAAGTGTAAATAAATTACAGCATGCTAAATATACAGAAATATAATGTGTGTGTACTGTGTGAGCACTGTTTTTCTCACCACCTCATCTTTATCCGCTGGAAGAATTTCCAGGTAGGTGGGCATCTCAATGTACAGTGGCTCTGATGGACTCCCCATTGCTGGCGGGGGTGGCGGGCTGAATTGAGGCGGTGGTGGTCTGGTCTGTAATAGACAAAGCAATTTAATTAGTTTTTCAACTCTATAACCACAACATGTATTCCCAGAACACTTTTAATAAAATAAATGGTTTTGTGACAAATAAGCAGTAAACTGATGATTGATGGAATGAAGTGCTTTGGGTTTAAAGGCAGATGTATCATGTCCAGACCTACAACAAAGCCTCTAGGAGCAATGCCCTAAACTCAAAAGGAAGTTGGCCATTTTGAATTAAAGGTCATTTTTGACAATTAACAGGTTCATTAGTTTAACAAACTCCTCCTACAGAATTAATGCAATCAATTTGAAATTTTTGCTGTGCAGTCTGAATGCATTGAAGATGAAAAGTGGTGCTATCTGTGAGTTTTGGTAGATGGGCGTGTCCGTGGCATGCCGTCAAATGTCGGTGATTCACCATGAAACATGAAGTTGTTATAACTTCAGTGTCCATGCTCAGTTCAAACTCTACCTGTCTGATAAGACTGCCACCAGAACACTACATGTAAATAATCACTCAATGTCATAGTGCCATCTACTGGCAACAGGAAGTAAGCCTTTGTGAATAACATTATTTTATTTACATGACATTTTCACAGCGTCGTCCAAACTTCATGTACTGTTACACAACATTAGCGTGTCTTGTCTAGCACCACCTATGGGATACTGGAAGTGACATTTTACTCCTTCATGACCAGTTCAAAACACGCAAAAAGTCAGAGACACTCTCCCAACCTCCACACACTGCGCTGCAGCCGCAACACGCCCTGACACTGCGCGAGGGTCACTGAGCCGGGTCGCAGCTGCTGGCTGAAGCCATCTACTGCACGGACTCCAAAACCTTTTGTACCTACTTGTCATTTCAACTCCAAAATATATGAAAATCGGGCCCATGTTTAAAAATACCAAAATCACCCTGAACTGTGTAAAATCCAGTAAGAAATTGTGCAGGCTTACATATCTGATTTTCCATGACAAACACAAACACAGTTCATCGCCTCTTGTTGTCAGCTCTGCAGTATCTCTCATACCTGTGGAGGTGAGGTTTCACACACTGATGTAGAGAGAGGGAGGGAGGATGGCCGAGGTCTTGGCAGAACTGCAGGTCTGTCTGTTCTTTCTGTGGCCTGAAAATCAAAGTGTGGTCACATTCCACAGTGTGGTTACATAATGCATTAGAGTATAACCAGAATATTCGGTGGAATGCCAAAATGTGAGACAGACTGCTAAGCTTTCATGCTGTAAACTGTACACTAGCTTCTACACTGGGGCGAGCTAGTTTTTGGAACAACTCAGATATGATTCATCTTCACATGTGTCTCAAAGAAATCTAACTAAATGTGTTGCAGCTGGATGCTTGTAGAGACATTAAGAAGGAGAAAGTTGGCTGTAGTGTCTCTAGGTGTCACAACAATCAACAAAAACCCATTTGTATCCTTTAAAGTTCAATCATTAAGGGTTTTGTCATTATTGTAAAACAACACATTTATGTTGCTAAAAATATATTGACGAAAATTTTAAAGGAATAGTTCAACAAGCACGTTTCCCAAAATGTCCAACTATTCCTTTGAGATGGACCACATTTCTAGTAATAACACATGTAGCAATCTTTTCAAGAGTAAAATTAAGCACATTAGTTTGTTTATGTACCTTCACAGTATTTAATTTCACATAGAGATTGCCAACTGCTGCTGTGGGTTTACTTGAAGTCGCACATTGGCTCATTGGTGGTCTGGGAGGACAAGTGGGAGGAGGCCTCTTACAGTGACAACAGAAGGACATAAAAAAGAAATTAATACATGCAAATTAAAACGTGCTATCATGTATTGACCTTAGTAATAATATCGGCAAGTGTCAAACCTGCTCAACTTACCACTGCTTTGGTTGTATTGCTAGTTGTGTCTACAGAGTCAGCAGTGTTGTTGCTGATGTTCCACAGGGACTTGTGTTGTAATCTAGGCCTGGGACTAGGTACAGGTTTGACTTCAACCTCTAACTGGCTTCCATCTGTGACAGGAGGCTGAAACAAGTGAATCAACATTTCTAATAATCCATTAAATTTGAAAGAATACCAAGAAGTACTTAAAAGACTAAAACCCCAGGATAATTACAGTAGTGTGAGAGGATTTTTACTTGTTACACTGCTTTGAAGGTCTCCAGCTCCTTTAAACATGGAAAAGGTGATTGCATGCAAATACTGACATACAAATTTGTTTTACCACTAATGCATCTGGGTCTTTGTCAGCACACTGCGGGACCTCATAGTAGCTGGTGATGGCATTCTTCATCATGTTGGTTTTCCTTGGGGGTTTCAGACGGCTATGCAGTATAAAAGTGACAGAAATTAACTCACTCATAATGAAACAATTAAGATGAGAAATTAGTTTTAAAGTGCACTATATTACTATGCAGTCCTTCTCCTTGTGTATGGTTACATAAAGACCTATTACCATTACATTATGAATGTTCTTGTGATATGTTAGATTCCTGTCAATTGACAAAACTGTTATTTTCAAATAGGCTAAATGCAGCATAAAAATCTGTGTATCTGCCTGTCCGTACCTCAAATTCCTCAATACATTTCATTACCACACACATCCATAATATAATTTAAGGGTTTTGAATCCTGATTGTGAAAATCAGTAGTTCTTACCATCATAGACAAATTCATCTGTAAGGGCTCCTGGGGGCCACAGGTTTACTGTGTAGTAATTTGATTAAAACAAAGTAATTTAGGATCAAACATATAAGCATAATAGTGAAATAACAAATATCTTAAAACTAGATTGTGACGAGACAGGCCCTTATCATGTCATATTGATTGAGTTGTCATCAGTGTTGGGCAAGTTACTCAGAAATTGTAATATATTACTAGTTACTTTTTACTCCTTAAAAAAGTAATATTATTAAATACTTATTACTGGGTGATAAAAGTAACTAGTTACGTTACTCGTGCAAGTTGCTTTCCAAAATGCTCCTTTTTTCAATAACTTCCATGTGATGTAACCTACCGACTCCAAAGCAGTGCTGAATTGTAGTACTACACTGGGCAAATGAGACACACCTCTTCATATTAGTTTTGAGTACTTCTTTTATTTTATATTAATATTTTATGGGAGAAAATGCTCTTCTTTTTTAATAGCTTCCATGTCATGTGATTCAGGGACTACAAATCAATGCCAAAGTGTAGAACTACACTAGGCAAATGAGAAGCAGAAAGATCACCACAAAACTAACACCAACAGGGAAAACAGACAGAAGCTAAGGTAAAACAGAACTCAGATAGACATGGGCAAAACACAGAAGTACACAGACCAGGAGTGAACACTAAGACATGAACTAAGGTACAGGACTCAGAACTAAGATACGAGACAAGACAGATACTAAGTAAGACTACAAATAACATGACTGACTGAAAACTAAACGACCAAAGCAGAACAGACACGCCAACAGTGTGACAGGTGGCACATGACTCCCCCTTTCAACTTGACATCCATCCAGTCTGTTGGGCTTTCTCATCCTTAAGGTTTCCCTGAATAAGTAATTGTTAAAACATTTTAAACTGATATGTAGGTGAAAACATGATGTCAGCTCACAAGCTCACGAACATTTGGTATGACCAGTAAATAACCAATGTTTGTATTCATCTCATCATTCCAAATGCATATGAGGGACGGGGAGAGGGTAGTCATAAAAGGTAGGCTACATTATAGTAGTAATAATAGTCTTTCTAAACGAAGCTTAAGAATTCCATGGCAAATTCTTCAACTTCTAAAGTGGAGCAATCGAAAGCATCCTGACTGGAAACCTTACCATCTGGCATAGGATGTGCAAGGTCCAGGACGGGAGGGCTCTGCAGAAGGTGATTAAAACCGCCCAAAAGATTATTGGTACCCATCTACCAAGCATCAGTGATTAGCCCAGGACAGTACCAACAAAGTCACAGCCTGTTCACCCTGCTTTCTTCTGGGATAAGATATAGAAGTCTGTTGTCGTAGCACCAGACTGCTGAGAATGTACTAGCATAAGAAAAAGCACTCAAATCTAATATGAAGAGGTATGTCTCATTTGTCTAATGAAGTACTACAATTGAGCAAAAGGTTGGAGGCACTAGGCATCATGTCATTGAAATAAAGCTGTCTTTTCCAAAAAATATTAATAGAAATAAGAAAAAGTACTCAAATCTAAGATGAAAAGATGTGCTTCATTGGTCTAGTGTAATACTACATTTCAGCAAAGGTCTGGAGTCACTGAATGACATCACATGGAAGCTATAAAAACAATAAAGCCTTTTATCTCCAAATTATTAATAAATTTTAATAAAATAAAATGTGGACTCAAATGTAATTTCAAGAGGTGTGTCTCATTTACCTAATGTAGTACTACAATTCTGCATAAGATTGGAGTCCCTGGGTCACATGGCATAGACTATTAAAAAAAACCTTTTCCATAAAATCTTAATAAATCCTAAGATAAATTAGAATATGTACTCAAATCTAATATGAAGAGGTGTGTCTAATTTCCCCATTGTATTACTATAATTCGGCATTGGTTCAGGGTCCCTGCCAGGACGTGGAAGATATCGAGAAAAATGCATTTTTTTGCACAAAATATTAATAAATGTTAATATGAAATGAAGAGGTGTGTCTCATTTGCCTAGTGTAGTTCTACAATTTGGCATTGGTTTGGAGTCCCTGATCACCTGGACGCTGTTGAAAAAAAGAGCATCCATCGTCAACTGCTTATCCTGTGTACAGGAGCCTATCCCAGCTAACGTCGGGTGAAAGGCGGGGTACAATCTGGACAGGTTGCCATGACAGGTTGCAATCTGGCAGGGCCACACATAGACGAACAATCACTCACAATTTTAGAGACACCAGTTATCCTAGCATGCATGTCTTTGGACAGTGGAAGGAAGCACCCGGAGAGAAACAACACAGACACGGGAAGAACATGCAAACTCCACACAGAAAGGCCGGGGCAACCGGGTTCTGAACCCTTGACCTTTTTGCTGTGAGGCAACAGTGCTAACCACTGCACCACCACCAATTAAGGTAAACAGTCAAGCTAACGATGTACCAGCAGTCTGCATTTGGTCATTGGTGTAGCCTGATGATGACCAAATTATGCACACACAAAAAGACAGACTTATTTCATGTGGATGTGACTGATGTAATGTTTCAGCCACAGATGATCTTCCTCAGTTAACGTGAAGAAGTGAACACACCTGTATTTAATAGGCAATACGTTATGAAACATCACATCATTATCTCCTAATTTGATTTGTTTTCCAAATCATAATTTAATATTGGAGACAACAAGAAAATCATTTCTGTATGTTCACTTTTTTACCTTTACCTGAGAAATACCATTTGAAATAATTCTAGTCACATCCACATCAAATAAAAGACTTGGGGAAGTTCTTTAATATGTCACAAAATAGACATTGAGCTTGGGGGGGGGGGGGGGGGGGGTCTTAATCCAGTAGCTAGGAAAAATTACTTTCTCCTAAAATTTACATTTGATTAAATTCAAATTAATTTGTCAACTGTATTTATTTTACTTTATATTATGTTACCCTGAGCATGGCTATCTCCAAGATACAAAAAACCCTATAAAATATTATTTTATGTGTCAGCAAATAGACACTGAGTTTGGGGGGGCGTCTTACCCCACACTACCCTACTTGTTTTTTCAAAGTAACAGTGCTTTTACTTGAGTACAGTTTTTGGCTACTCTAACCCCCTCTGCTGGTTTGGTATGTTAAACAGAACTCTTGTTGATTGTACAGGGTTGCTGCTATTTTAAAGTTAACGTTTCAATCTTACAAGCTAACTGATTACGTAAGTTAATAGTGTGCAGAGCTTGCAGTTGTCTTTCATTCAGTAAACTGGTGGTACATGCAAATCTCATGTGAGGAACCACACTGACCTGTTTCCTAATCGCTGAATGAGACTGGTGTCATGTATCTTTTAGACTCAACTCTTTTCTAAAACGTATAAAACATATATTCAAAGCAGGAAGAGCTGATACTTACCGTCCTGTTTCAGTTCGGAAGCCGTTGTTATCAGTGCTCTCTGTGTCACTACACCGTTTGATCCTTTCTGTGTCCAGTGTAGGAAAGGGCTCAATAATTCTCCCATACGTTTGACATGCCTATACTCTTGTCAGGCCACAAATGCCATATAGATACCTGCTCCTCCAATCACCTGGTTGGTTTTGTTTACTAGTTTATTTAAAACTCGTTCAGCAGGCTAAGTGACTGAAAGTTTTGTTCTTGTGAAGCTTGCCTGGATTTTTTTTACTCTTTGTCACTGATGTGTTGGCAATGCTTGATGAAATTAAAACCAACAAAACTAGAGATGGGAGGAATATGTAAAATCAGTAGTGTAGGGAGTGGATGATTGAAAATGTGCTGCATGGATGTTGTGCTGTAAAAACAAAGAAAAGGAACCAAAAGCCACAACACAAGATGTGTTGGGCATGCTGCTGATTAACCTGCCAAACACGTCTGAAGCCCCAGAGCTAAGCAGCAGTAGTGTGAACCGAGCAGTTGTTGTGAAGTTGTTCTTCCGAATTCTGTGTGTGTGGAATCAACATGGATGCTACTACAAAGATGTGAATACCAGGAAATAAAAGGTGAAATTCTGGACTCTTGTCTCATACTTATCTTTTGATCTTAAACCAAAATGTCTTCAGTGAACAACAAAAATTATATCAACCCCCAAATATTTAAAATATTTTGCACGAATCAAAGTTCTGTATGCTTCTTTATGTATCATGTACACTTTATTTCTCTTTTTGCAATAAAGATTTAAGGAGGACAAAAATATTCTTATTATTACCATTATTACCATATGAATCAGTCTGTAAGAGGACCCGCGGTGTATTTAGATAGAAATGGCTAATTCTAAGGTAATAAAAACATAACGGTTTATTATATAAGGTCTTTATACACCACTGAAAACATAGTTATGAATATTCTATATTACACACTGGACCTTTAAAAAAGGGGGAAACAGCTTGCCTGGCTCTGTCTTAAGGTAACAAAATCCACTTACCAGCACAGCTAAAGCTCACTAATTAAAAGTTTTATACATTTTAACACACCTTTTTGCAGGGTTAATGCCAAAACATTCAATTTCAAATTTCAGTTTTTGAATGGATTATACAAATAACATGTAACGTGTTAATTAGTGAGCTTTATAGGTACTCATAAGCATAGGAATTTAGTGAATTTTGTTTCCAGTCTTTATGCTAAGCTAAGCTAAGTTAAGCTGCTGCTGGCTGTAGTTTTATATTCACCTGACCTGAGAGTGGTATCAATCCTCTCATGTACCTCAGACATTTCCCAAAATGTTGAGACATTCTTTTAAGTTCACTGTTTGAAAGACATGGGCAGACAGGGACTGTCTAACTCACTTAACCCCTAGTTGCTCCAGAGGCGTGCGACCTCTGACATATATAGCAACTGTAAGTCGCTTTGGATAAAAGCGAATGTAATGTAATGTAAATCTAACAAAAAGATGCTACTGGGTTGCATTATGGGAAATGTAGGATCCAGTGCCCTAAAAGCCTTGACAACTCTTTTGTTTTTATAATCTCTCTTTCCCACTGCCCAAATGTAATGTTAGACAAGCCCGGGCAGAAGACAGACAAACATTTGGATGGTTACTGAACTCACTTATCGTCGGTACAGTTTAGCCTGCTATGGTTATGTCTATATATTCTCTGGGGGAAGTTATTTAACAAATTGTTAAAAGAGGGAGTTTCAAAAATCTGCAGAATGTGCTCTATCTATCATTTCAGTCACAATACAGCTCGTGACCCTGCGGAGACCTGCACCGGTTTGTAATGTGGGATGATGGCCTTCCTCTTCTACCAATCAGAATACCGCACTGATTACTTTCCCCCAATCACATAACGGGGAAAACCGAGTAAACGCGGAAATTACCGAAGCACTTTCGCTTAGCTTTCTGCGTCAGTTGAAATAGTGGTCCGTGTGTGCGCTAGTTAGTAACGGAAATAATATAAGAGTTTGTTATATGTACGAGGACAGGCATGACACGGCTGAAGATACTTTGTATCATCGGGGCGCTGCTCGTAGTACAAGGCGCCGCCATCATCAGGTAAATACAGTTCATGTATTAGCAACTAGAGTGAGCTAATATTACATATCAGCCGAAGTTAGGCTACATATCAACAGACAAGTAACTTAGGCTTCTTTGAATCCAGGTTGATGTATGCACGCGCGTTGACTTCCTTATTTTGTGCGGGTAATTATCCCCGCGTGTTTACAATGAATGTGCCAGAAACAATGACACTGGTGCAATTAAAAATGATGTTTACACTTTGCCCTGTTAATTAATTTTGCATTGTAGGAAGAAAGAAGGTGCGAGCGCTTTGTACCAGGAAGCAGCCTTTCCGCGCGCATAACGCACGCGAACGGTTGTTCCTGTGACATTCAATTCAATAATGCCTCATTTCAGAGTTCCCCTTCATAAAACGAGAAGCCTACGGCGCCTGATGAGCGACAATGGGCTGTCTCTGGAGGAGCTTCGGGCTTTGGCGAAGAGCACTGGAGCACCTGACAGCTCTCCCTCCCCCAACCTGCCTGTGGAGAGGCTGACCAACTTCATGGATGTATGTACACAATACTTCAATCAGCAGTTAAAGCTAGATTTCAGTCATTATCTTCTCCTCATGATGTCAGCAGAAACCCAGGGGGGGTTGATGATAGTGAGTGCCACACAGTGAGTGGGTCCGTTTTGTTGCAGCCTTATTGGTGGGAGTCAGCTTCTAATAACGCCCGATGTGTAAAACATCCATTGACACTTAAGCCAAGAGTTTGTTGCCACATAAGGCATTGTGGGTCAAAACGTTTGTTTGAGCAGTACTGCCAGTGAATAAAAGGAGAAAATGAATAAGTAAATATTGGATGATATCATGGGCTGACCTCTGTTATTTCATATTTTGAAAAACAAGGGATAAGGTTGAGCTGGAACCATAAACTTTTAGCTCTGTTTGCTTTTATGGAGCCGAATGAACACAGATTAAATGCTCTGCTTAAGTTTTTAGTCTAAAATGTTTGTGTGAATAATACCTACACTTGCAGGTGTAGTGGTGGTGTCACAGCAGATCTCAGTATTACCTATACTGTCTCCTCAGGCCCAGTACTACGGGGTGATCAGCATCGGCACCCCTCCACAGGACTTCACTGTGCTTTTTGACACCGGCTCCTCCAACCTCTGGGTCCCCTCCATTCACTGCTCTTTCCTCGATGTGGCCTGCTGTGAGTTTGCCATGTTGGGGAACTGACTCACTTGCAATCTGCTGGTTAATCCTCAAGAACGCTGGCTGTATTTACAGTAGTGACTAAAATGTCACACTTCTCCTTGTTGTTCCTTTTTAGAGTTTGCCTTCAAACATTTTAGTGTTCAGTAAAATAATTACACACACACACACACACACACACACACACACACACACACACAGGTGTGTGTATCTTGACGTTATTGCATTTTGAAGCTATTTTTAACATTATGTTTCCTATTGCCATGAAATCTGTACATTTTCATTTTGATTGACCGCTTTCTCTCGTCAGGGTTTCATCATCGCTACAACTCGAAGAAGTCAAGCACATACGTCGAGAACGGCACACAGTTTTCCATCCATTACGGCAGAGGCAGCTTGTCTGGCTTCATCAGCGGCGACACGGTCTCTGTGAGTCTCTGAGAAACACTCCCTCACATTCTCTTTGCTCGCTCACACAGCCCTTTTTTGTTTAACTGCATTCCTCACTTTTGGTGGTCATGCCACTCCTATCATTTCATTAAAAGACTTGCGTTTTCTATCCGTATTGACGTTTTCTCTCTACTTCCTTCTCCTCTGCTTGCAGGTTGGAGGTTTGCCTGTTCCTGGCCAACAGTTTGGTGAAGCAGTGAAGCAGCCCGGCATCACATTTGCAGTGGCACGGTTCGATGGGGTCCTGGGCATGGCCTACCCATCCATATCTGTAGCTCATGTCACCCCAGTGTTTGACACGGCCATGGCTGCCAAGCTGCTGCCCCAGAACATTTTCTCTTTCTACATAAGCAGGTTGGTGTCTGGGAGAAGCAGGGAAGAACAGCCATAAATAATATTATCACCAGCTCTGGAATCGCTACCTTCTGTATAGGTTTAACTGTTGGTCAGAGAATTTGTGGGTTGTTATCAAACTTGGTCTTAACTTTGTTTTTCCCTGCTACTGCCAGTTGTTAATTCAGCAGCTGTGGGTTTGGCACATTTAGGTGTTTTTTGTTAACACCACAAGTTGTGCTTCTGTCCACCCTGTCTCTTTAGAGACCAAAAAGCAGCGGTAGGAGGAGAGCTGATTCTGGGTGGGACAGACCCGCAGTACTACACCGGAGACGTGCACTACGTCAACGTCACACGAAAGGCCTACTGGCAGATTGAGATGAACGGGTGAGAAAGAAGTGGTTTCATTATTACAAAGAACTGGGAAGTGGAGCAGTGTAGTCCGGGTTCACACACACTTTCTGTTCTGTGTTTATCTTGGACACAATGCTCAGTTTTGGTATGACTCATTCCTTTGACCTGGTAAGAGGAAATAGTATTCTCACTAAGCAGGTGGATGAAGAAATGATTCCAGGGATTCTGAGGTGTACAATCACAAGAATTTTAAATGAGTGTTCTGTGCTGCATTACAGTAACATGAGGTAAGCAGGTGTCATATAATAAACTGATGCCTCTTGTTTCTCTGTCCCGTCCCGCTGCTCCCTCCCTAACCTTCCCCTGCAGAGTTGAAGTTGGCAACCAGCTGACTCTCTGCAAATCCGCTTGCCAGGCAATTGTTGACACTGGAACGTCCCTGATCGTAGGCCCTGCGGAGGAAGTCAGAGCGCTGCAACGAGCTATCGGAGCCCTACCGCTGCTGATGGGAGAGGTAGAGCTGACAAAGCCAACTTGATGGTTGCTGCATAATGCCTTAGTTACACTCTTGTAGCCCGGATTTACTATTAAACCTTAATTTCTGCTGGAGCAGTTGACATTTGTGGTCCCGGGTTTGATACGCAAATAAAGTGTAATGTTTTTGTGGCTCTGTCTCCCACCCACTAAACATGTATACTCTTAAAATATAAAGTTCTTGGGGTGAAGGCATGTCATAGGTCACGTTACACCTAGACCTAACACCACCAAAAGCTGCACCTGTGACACTGCTGTAGGTTGATGAATAGTGGGACAACAAAGCTCTCTCGGAGACCAATTCAGCATACTTCTCTCTCCTCTTTCTCCTTTCTAGTACTTTATTGACTGTAAGAAGATCCCATCTCTCCCAGTCATCTCCTTCAACATCGGAGGGAAGATGTTGAACCTGACTGGAGAGGATTATGTCTGGAAGGTAATAATAGAATTGTTTGATGGACTGATGATGGCAATATATCCAGAATATAATTCAAAGCTTTGCAGTACATTCAACGAAGGTTAAAGTCAAGGGCAACTGGACTTGGTTGAAGATACTGGAAGACGTTTCGTCCCTCATCCAAAGGACTTCTTCAGTTCTGACTGACTGGCAGGGAAACTCAGCTATTTAACCTCAGTGGGGTCGTTATCCCGGGTCATCGATACCGCTGGTTCGTTAGTGTTCCTTGTTGCTGTGACGACAGTCGTTACAGTCGTTAGGACTACCGGTGGCCAAGACTGAACGACCATCGTTGGTATCTTCACCTGAGGTCAATAGGTTACGTTTGTTGAGTTTCCTGGGAAGTGATGAAAGGACAGCATTGTAAGTGGGGGATAAGTGGTGGCGTAGACCCCCTCCTCTGTTCAATGACGGCTTCTCGTCTCTTGCTTTTTTTGTGTTTGGGTGTGCGGTCTTTGGGGTGGACCAGCATCTGTCTTAGTGTGTTCTTGGGTTTAAAAAACACAGGGATGTTATGTTTGTTGAAAATCCTCCTGAGTTTCTCTGATACTCCAGACACGTATGTACAATGTTGTTGCGTTTGACCTTCTTTTCCTCCTCCCCTGTAGTTTTGTTCTTCTTGGATCTTGTGGCTGTTTTCACAAAGGTCCATTTAGGGTATCCACAGGCTGTAAGTGCCCCCTTCAGGTGGTTCTGTTCCTTCTCTCTGGCTTGGGCGCTTGTTGGTATGTTTTCCGCTCTGTGGTGCATTGTTCTCATGACCCCTAGCTTGTGCTCCAGTGGGTGGTGTGAATCGAAGAGTAGGTATTGGTCTGTGTGTGTGGGTTTTCTGTAAACACAAAGAGGCTCCTGTCCTCTTCAATGTGTACAGCACAGTCCAGGAAGGCCAAACTGTTGTTGTGAACATCTTCTCGTGTGAACTTGATGTTACTGTCCACAGAGTTGATGTGTTCTGTGAAGGCTTGCACTTCCTGGCATTTCATTTTGACCCAGGTGTCGTCCACATATCTGTACCAGTGGCTCGGTGCTATTCCTCTGAAGGAGTTGAGGGCTTTATTCTCCACTTCTTCCATGTAGATGTTTGCCACAATCGGGGATACCGGTGAGCCCATGGCACAGCCATGCTTCTGTCTGTAGAATCCCCCGTTGTACTGGAAATAGGTGGTGTTTAGACAGAGGTCGAGTAATTTACAGATCTGGTCAGGGCTGAGACTAGTTCTGTTGTCCAGGGTGTTGTCTTGTGTTAGCCGTTTTCTAACGGTTTCTACTGCCTCTATTGTGGGGATGCAGGTGAACAAAGAAGTCACGTCATAGGATACCATGGTTTCATCTGGATCCAGATGAAACCACGGTATAACTATGACCTGGATGACTAAGAATCTTCATGGACATTTTGCAGTACATCTTTTCTGAAACCTAAAGGATAAGTCTGGTGATAAATTTTTCTTGTTGACAACTCTGAAAGTACTAAAAATGTTTTTTTTGCCCAAAGCCAAATACATATACAAACTGGTATTCTGTGTACAGAGATGTTTACCAGGCGGTGATAGGCCTAATCCGCTGTGTGCGTGAACTCGTCTGGCAGCGGCTTGAATGTAACGGCTGTTCATTTATATGCAAAGCCCCAAGAAAGCCCCAGGAAGGGGAATGCAGTCAGGTGTATCAGTGGCCAGATGAACATCCACGTTTGAGGCTGTTTCGTCCCCGAGCTGTGCTTGTTATGCATTTAGGACAGCTGAGGACAATCAGGCACTCTTCCCAGTTGGGGCGATGCAAACAGTGAAGCAAAACTTCTACGTGAATGTTTAAAAAGTGCATCATCAGATGAAAGAAGAGGCCAGTTAAATGGTTAAGGATCTTACAAATGCCTGCCAAAGAGGAGGCTTCCAACTGATTAAGTGGGTCAGTAACTGCAGACGGTCACTAAGGAACACAGAGCCAAGTCCTTAACTGAATTGAATCTCTTTTCTCATAGAGAGCCCTTGGTCTGCAGTGGCGCCTTCCAGTTCAAATGCTGGTGAAAGGCCTGACACTAGATGTGGCATGTTATGTCTGCTCAGTTCAGTGTATGATCTTTTGGGGTTTATTGCACCAATGACTCTAGCACGCAAAGTCTTCCTGCAGGAGCTCTACAGGAAAAGCTGGAGATGGGGTGACAACTTACTTACCACAGGACATACAGCAAACAATACTGGACAAAGTGGCTGGAAGAGCTCAGCAAGAGTTCAAAAATGAAAGGTGCTTTAACCCAAAGTATTTTGGATAGCCAACTGCATCGCCTTCCTGCTCAGCTGAGTCACCATTCCACACCTTGAGCTCTTGGTTGTGGTTCTCGCTGTTTGTGTGGACAGGATGTTTAGAGCAGAGCGGCAGCTACAGTTGGAAGACTCAGTCTTTTGGACAGATAGCACCATGGTGCTGAGGTACATTGCGAATGAGGACAGGTGCTTTCTTAGTGTTATTTAGAATTGTTGTGTCTGATATTAACAATTAGGGGCCAGAGTATAAGAGCCATTTATGTATTTGAATTTATATTTAGTTTATCTTGAAGTAATACATGTTTTGTACACTGGGGGCAGTTACCTAGATTGAGAATGCATTTACACAGGAAAGGTGTGTTGCATGCCAGGTGAAGCATAGGTTTTTTTTCACTGTAGCCCGGGCGTCTGCAAGTAGTGTAGCAGTGGTACAAATTTGGTGACCGTGTGATTGATGTGCAGCTTGGATACAAGAACCCTTTGTAGACATTTGAAATCAGTAAATGAAGACGCAAAGGTAAGCGTCTGGACATTGTAATTAGACTTTGCGTTCCACAGCCGATGCCTGTCAGTTAAGGACGCAGACATCACAGTGACTAATTGGAAGGCCACTGATACACAATTAACTATTTAAAAAATGCATCAATAAGTTGCACCATTGCTTTGTGTTGCGATGTCCCTTAGTTGATTGCAGATAACTGAGTCAGTTTCACAAATCTGTGGCTAAAAGTAGTCCCCAACCAATGTGTTATTCACTCCTGTTTGAGGAACACTTGCCTGTTTAGAGATGGATTAAAGCACTTTAGTGGGATTTGTTTAAAAACATTGCACACTATATTTTTCAAATGTTCAGTTTTTGGTTATAGTTTATATTTTTAAGGCCTAGGTTTGGTCTTTTGGTCTGCATTATAAGTACATGTTTCTAATATTGAGTTTGCTTTTGCTGAAAATTTGATTCTTTCTCCTTTTTGATTCAGGAATCTCAGATGGGCGTATCAATCTGCCTGTCAGGCTTCATGGCCATGGATATCCCGCCTCCTGCAGGGCCCCTGTGGATCCTGGGAGATGTATTCATTGGGAAGTACTACACTGTATTCGACAGGGACGCCGATCGTGTGGGGTTTGCGCCTGCCAACTAGTCTACTGAACACTGTTTGTATAAAATATGTTGCACTTGTCATTTGTAGTGGTTATTTGACTTTAAACATCAAGCCAAGCAAAACCAAATTTCATCAGCAACCTTGAATTATTTTGATTTGCACCAAGCAAAAGCATTTAACAGCTTCATATCACTGCAAGGCCTGGCTTGCCACATAAATATCTCACATCTGCTTATGAGGTTTACCAGAAGCTGGTTTTCAAAGAGCAAGTATGGCTGCTATGTTAATAGCTATTTACAGACATTTACCAACTGTGACTGACATCGAGTGTAGATGTTTGCTGCCACAGAACAAAGGGACTGCTTCACTGATTTCTTGCACCTGCCTGAGATAAAACTATGCATTTTGATGTATGTATGCATTTATTTTGTCATTGACATGCTTTGGGGGAAGAAATGCACCTCAATTTTGTTTTTGTTTCATTCCCAGAAACTGAAACGCATTTCTAGTGTTTCATAATCAATGTTATAATTAAGAGCTACTTTTGTACACTGAAGGTATTCTCAGGATGTTTCTTTTAATACGTGAATTTTATTACCAAAGTCACTAATTAAAATTTGATAGAAATAACGCTTGTGTCAAATGGCATCCAAATTTGGATGGAGGGGTTTAGAATATAACCTACCATAGAATTCAAACTGCATGCTTCCTTACAACATAAACATAAACAACATACACAAAGATGAACCTACAGAATGTCATTTGTAACATTTAATGAAGTATACAAAGTGCTGCACCGTTCAACTCCAGAGCTGAACTACAAAAAGAAAAGCTGGGGGAAAACACACAGCATGCAACACATGGCCAGTATGCTCTCCACAAGGTAGAGGTAGAGATCTACTTTAGGTTTTGTTTTACAATAACAAACATGGCACAGTGACTCCCCTCTCACCAGCACAGTAGTCATTTGTAGCATAAACTAGGTCTGAAAAGGAAGACGCTTAATATGCGCGCAAAAGACGATCTACTGTGGATTCATTTTATATTGGTACATCCAGAACAAAGCGCTTGATGAAGCACAACAAGTGATACTTTACATGTTGAATTGAATCGATGCAAATAAATATCTGGCTGTTTTTGGTTACAAATGTACAATAAATACAAAAATATTCACCTGTTTCTCCATTATTATCTGGATGATGATTATTAACTGAATGCACAATGGAACTATAAACAACCCAAGTCCTTCTGTATTGTATACTATAACAGTACAACTGGGTCGGGGGCTGAGGGGAAACTTGCGCCATATCACTGCATTTCTTTTTTTTTTCCCATTCTAAGGCTAAAAGTGACAACAAAAAGCAACCATGTGATTATTTTTGGGTAGTCATTTGGAGAGAGACACCATCTCCACTTGACGGTCTGGCAGCTGTTGTTGTAGTGACTCCACCTGCAATGCAATGAGGGGGAACCGACTAGCTCCACTGAGTACCAGTCTATTCTCAGAAACCCCGGCTATCAAAGCTGTTTTTACATAACTGAGGATCTGTAATCAGATCACAATCTAAAGGAGATTAGCACCTGTAATCTAATATACATGTAGACCTGACAGGCAGAAGCAGCCTGCTAATAGTGATCATTCATGTACAGGGCCAGGACTAACCAATAACAGCCTAGTAGGCTTTACTGCACAAATCGGCGTCTGGCTATCTACTCTAGAGAGACTGGGCCAGAGCGGCACCTACAAGTTAATCTGGGTTTAATGTGGATTTAAATGTGCACACAAATACTGAACAACAAAAGGTAAAAGGCTCAATGCTCTAACTATAAGCCAGCCAGGAACTCAAGTTAATACTGGGCTAATTCACCAAATGACAAATGCACAAAAACCTTCTGCAGGTTCGTACCATGTCTACAGCAGCGTGTTGTTGCTAACAGACGTGTCAAACTGCAGAGCAACAAGTGTCCGCCAAAGGTAGATGCTTGCTACAAAGACCCTGATTTAGCAAGTGTGCGCAACCCATACTGAAGGTAACAATCTACAAGATGATCTGAATTCAATTAAAGCAAAAACCACTTTTATAGTGTCCTACTGAGACACTTTGTTGCAAAATCTTCAACAGAACATATTGACCTTGAAAAATACCAGTGTTGCAAAATTTACAACAGAACATTTTGACAGTCCAAAATAACCCGTGTTGCGTCATAAAAGATGAGTTAATAAAGCATGTCGGGCCTGTGCACCAAAGCAACAAATGTAAGACAGGAGAGGAGAAAACCTCCTTTTCATGAGATACACAGAGTGGCTGTGTATTGGACCACCAAATGGAAACATTTTCTGTTCAAGCAAAGTGTATGCTAAAATGGTGGCGCTGTGTTGATAAAATTTCATGACACCCAACAAATCATATACCTCACAGATCCTTAAACGGTGGTATATTCCATTTGTTGAAGTATAACTTTATATCAGATTCATAGTTGATTGGTGTGAGTTAGAAATAGACAACATATAACTCCACACTATACGTGTATGTTCACCTGTTTCACTCCTAGATCAGGTACGTAACACATGCAACACTCCAAACACAGCCCAACGTTTGTTTTCAGATTGCTAGAAACACGTAAAGCACACATTTTGAACACAGCCACTGTATTAATGAAGTTTTCTTACAAATCCTAGAGGACACTAAACTCAAAAAAAGTTTTTAATATATGTGATAACAAAACAGGATATAAATACAGCTAGATTCTCTCTTTAACTCAAGAATGTTTAGTCTTTCAGGCTGATTAACAATTTATTATGCTTTTGGGTTGGCATACACACAATCAATGTTACATTCTACCCGCATGACACTGTGAACCCATCTCAAAACAGATGAAACAACATTTAACTGCACATCTGTCCCCCAGTTAAAAATACTTCAAATATGATGAAGACATTCAGATTCCTTCTATTTTGATATAGAACCAATGCCGTTTAATCCCTCCATCCCAATATATTCAGCCCCAACAGCATGTCTACTCAACTTCATTAATACAATGGCCTTAGTGAGAGCCGTGAACTCCAACAGGCCTTCAATTTCATCTGAGATTAAAATAGCATTTGCGTGATCACGCCACATACAGCTCTCATGTCAAGACTCAAAGAGATCTCAGCACATAATAACTGCTACTGTGTGTATGTCACACTTTTTCATGGATGTGCGTTAAGAGGAATTTTTGAATGAAGAGGCCATGTGTTTCAGGAGAAATGATTCCATGCAGTCGTTTTCTCTTTTCCAGGATCCTCATTATGGCTCGAGGTCACTGTTACCCACAAAACAGTGGTCTGCATTTCAATACCATGTTTGCCGTGCCGTGACCTTCTTATATGAGGTGGTCAGGGAAAGGGTGGCTTTGCATCAGCAGTTCTCAGCAGCCCCTCAGGATCTGAGAGGGCACAGTAGAGTGTATACCCCAGCTCGTCCACTTCATGTTCAGTCAGCTCGCAGAATAAGTTAACTTTAGGGCTGAGGGCACATGGCAGCCTCCCGGCCTCTAGGTGTCCCACTAGCGCTCGTAGCAGCTGAAGGAAGCGGTCCGCCAGCGCTTCCTGGGTCCAGTCACCTTCTTTTTCGCACAGCAACAAGATGGCGTTGGTGAGCTGGCTGGAGTTGAGCCGGGTAAGGGCATGGTTAAGCTTGCACACGGCCTTCGCCACCTTCAGGCAGGCGCATCGGCAGCCTCCATCCTCTTGGTCTAGGGCCCTGAGTCGCGCCGTCTCAGCCACACGGAAGCTCTGCCGCCACAGGTTTTCATGGCGCTCTGCAGCAAGTCGATGTGGTTTAGCGATCAGTGAGGTTCCATCCTCCATCACAAGTAATGGCAGGAAGTCCACGTACAGCTTCCGGTCTGTCTCGTACTGCACCTCCAGGGTCAATGTTTCTGAGGGAACCACAGGACGGATAATGTAGTCAAGGACACTCCCTATAGCTGGCCAGTTGATAGATCCAGCCACGAGCTTGTCAAAGACCTCGAGGACTGATTTAGGGGATAGGTAACCTCCGACCATGCAGCGGTCCCAGTAGCTGCTGTTCCGTGGGAAATACTCCAGATTCTCCCTGCGGACGAGCCAGAAACCTGGGACATTCATGATGGTGTCTTCGCCGGGGATGGACGACCACAGGTTCTTCTCCAAGATAAGAGGTACCATCAGCTGGGCGTGGTCCGCTGTCACCACCTAGAAGAAACAATTATAGAAGAGATGACAAATTTAACAGCTGTATTTGTTACACCCCTTTAATTTTATATACCTTTATTCAAATCAGTGGAGGAGCCCCAATAGTCAAATTACCCTTTTCGGGGGGTTGAATTATTTTACACAGCCAAATGTAAAAGTTCAAAATTACTATAAAACTAACTAGAATATAACAGATCAATATTCTGCCCTAAACTGGCAACTCCAAAAGACTCAGATTTAGGCACAGCACTTGTGAAACCCAGTGACAGTTGTAATCAAATCAGTGTTTAAATAAGCTAAAATTAAAACTCATTTGTCTAATGGTGTGTTCCATTTGACATGGGAAGTCGGAATTTTCAAAGGGAACGCCCACTTAAGTCGGATTTCCGACTTGGAACCGCACTACCCCGACTTCATCATCCAAGATGGCTGCTCTGAGTATCAACAGTTAGTGAAAGCAGTAGTTTATACTGTTTATTAGCACTTCTGCGTACTTGTGTCTAGTTGTAAACAACGGCTGGCTGTATGACTTGTTAATTGGAACGCCGTCAAAGGGTGTGACGTCATTCCCAGCACCGACCTTCCGGCTTCCGAGGTAAATGGAACGCACCATAAAAGTTGGACCAAATGTAACCATTTACCTGCAGGTCATCATACAGACTGCCACTCAGGTACATCTCTCTGAGCGGCATGTCAGGCAGTTTGGCGTGAAGGAACACTCTGAGTTCAGCACAGATGTCCAGCGCTGCCCTCCTAGCCACAGCCTGCTCTTCAGCAGGGATGTTCACATTATTTTGGTAGAACTGCCACAGATGTTCCTGCAGGGACAGACGCATTCGTGCCCGCAGCAGGTCTGACTGAGTGGCACCACTGGCTCCCACAGCAGCTCGCCCCACAGCCCTCCGCAGACAGTCTGAGGAGATTAGAAGCAATTGAAAGCAAAATGCTGCGGCACAGGAGAATTTCACTTTCTTCCCTCTTTCACTGTTTCAGGTAAAAGATGGGAGAGGCATAAGTGTCTGCGTGACCAAAAATGTATCTAGAGATACTAAATTGAGGGGCTTCTACACCATCTGAGAACATTATGGTTCCACTATATCATATGAAACAAACAGCTGGCTGACTAACTACAGCACTACAAGAGTCAACACCCACTGTAAAGGAAGAGCAAGATTCCTCCAAACAGGCTGTCTGTCAACAGATAAAATTACAGGTGGCTGAAAGTCTAAAACCACAAAATGGTCAATGCTGCATAAATATAACATGAAAAAGACATTCGTAACAATAATGTCAGATAAATTTATTCAACCTTTAAAACCGGGCACTTCGTTTTTCCTCACCTGGTTCAAAGGCATGTGAGGAAGTGGGCAGAGACTGCAGCGACCTGCTAACTGTGGACTTCATGCCATGGTTCAGTACCCGTGGTGACGAACCCATCCAGACGGGCTCCTCCCAGCTTCTCTGTCCTGTCTGCTCCATCTTGGTGGGGCTGGTGGGAGCACTTATGGTACGGTCATACATCTGCACAAGAAAGAATTGTGTGCACACTGTTCGTATGGATGCTTAAGTAAGAGGGGAAGAGGAGTGGAGAGGTATGAAGAGCTGGGAGATAATTCGCTTCTGACTTACTCTTTTGACAGCTAATGTTGCAATGCCAAGCATGGCTGCTCCTCCCACTCCCAGCACAAGCTTGGCATTGGAAAGCATGAAGTCAATGGCAGTGCCAATTCCATTGTCATCTTTCTTCCCTTTGCGGTCTCCATTTACCCCCGCCATCCTGCCACTGAAAACAGAGGAGATAAAGAAATTGGTTAAGACAGGGGAAAGAGTAGAATTAGGACAGAAGAAAATGTATTTTCTCTGTGCACATATAGTTGAGACAGAACCGCTCATTCAGCACTAACTGAGTTTTGTACCTACATAAAGAAAGTCAATGAATAACCACCCCAAACATGGTCTTACTCCAGGATCCTCCTTGGTCTTTGCCCTATCCTACAAAGCTAAATTGTCCACCATCTGTCTAAAAGAATGTCTTAGATCTAAACATTTTCATTGCTGACATACACATCATTCTCTTATTTGCAAACCCACCAGGCAGCTACACCTCCAGATGACCTTTATCCCACCTCCAGATGACCCGTGACACCTTCCCCCTACATAAGCCCGCCCAATCTGCTTCTGAGGAAGAACTGGCCCCTCCTCAGTGCGTCCTCCTTATCTTCACGTACGGTCAGGGCTTGGCAGCGGCGAAACTCGCGCGCCACGGCACGGCGATAGTAATTACGGTCAGTGTACTGAAGGTGACGCCCTGCACGGAGCAGCGCCCGGTACAGCTCCAGCACGGCACTGCGAGACCAGCCGCCCATTAGGGACCACACATGGAGAGGGGGGACACCCTGGCACCTGGGGGATTAAAGGGGCTGACGTTAACAGACAGCAAAGTTGCAACATTTTATAAAAATGAAATGAGTGAATAGGATGACACAGCAATTTAAAATATTAGAAAGGTTATATGGGCCAAATATCAATCTGATCATCATGCTGGATCTATGGTCATCCACGTGAAGGATGGGTGAAAGTAAAGTCACAGAGTATGGGTAGAGAGAGAGAAAAGTTTGCTGCTTTATGGATTAACAGTTTAATCATTGCACTAAAAAAAACAAGCAAGAGATTGGCAGGGATAACTACCTGTCTTTCATCCTTGGTTATTGATCACTCTGTTCTAACTTATAAACAGACGTATTTACCCCCAGTTCATCCATTGCTACACTTATTTAGTTCCATCGGTCTCTGCTTTGAAGACCGTAGAAACTAGGTTACATTTCCATTTAAGAGCACTATATGTTTAAACCTTTAAGTCAAAACAACGGAGCAGTTTATAGTTTGTATGATGCAAATGGTTCACACTCATTAACATGAACTTGCTGCCTCTCAGGCGCAGTGTCGGCTCGTACAGACTGCAGCGTTAGCTATTGTTAGCAACCATGCAAATAGGACCACTTAAAGGTAGCGGAACATCGTGGCTCACTGACTCCCTGATTTACACAGACTGTTATGTGACTATTGCCACTGCCGAATGTAAAATATTGGCAAAGTAAGGTCTATCGAGGTTCATTTGTCTCTAGAAAATGGCTGGCTCAAAGGAAAGCCACATATCTCTTGACTAACGTTAAGTTAGCTTGTTAGCTTAACACACCGAAGAGCAGTGGCGCTAGGACAGCGCTGACCTTACTTTTAGTCACCCTTATAAGACACACTCTCTAAAAGAAAAGTGCGCAGGACACAGTGGAAGCAAAAACACAAATAGACACAGAAAAGAAACACAAGCCAACCTACGTCTCAGAAATTAGACCAAATATTCTGTCTTCTGGCAGAGAGGCAGGGCTCTGCTCAAACCGGGGGTCAGAGTCGACAGTGACAACCGGAAACTTATTGTCCACTACTCACACTCTACATCCGGGTTATCATCTTTTTGTTACACTACATACAGTCTATGTTAAAATCTTACAAATTTTATGATAACATTTTAATGATATTCTATGAAAGGTAACTATTTGCCCTTTCTGATTGATTTTATGTGATACGTGTACATTCGTGATGCATGAACTATGCAAACCATTTTTGACTTTTTATGATGTTCGGGTTACTTCTGAAGGCTGTTTCACACAAGCAAATTTAGAAATCCAGGATAACAGAAAAAGCTAGGCTTGACCTAGTGTGATCAGTGCAATTATAATGTTACCATTCAAGTGTTGTATCATACCTTAAAAGTTAGCAGTGGACGCAACATGTCACTCAGCAAATGTATTAATTCCAACCACTAATCTGAACAAAGCCTACTATTTATTCAATTCAATTTATTAGATTAGGGGTGTGACGATACTATGGATGATACACTTGTCTGTGTTGAGAACAAGACCAGACAATCTTTCTTAAAGCATTTTCAGTTATTAATGTGTTATCTATCTATCTAACAGTCTATCTACATATCCATCCATCCATCCCTGGACAGGTCGCCAGACCATCGCAGGGCCACACACAGACAAACAACCAGTCACAGTCACACAATTTAGGGTCACCAATCAACCTAGTTCACATGTCTTTGGACTTTAGGAGGAAGCCGGAGCACCTGGAGAGAACCCATGCAGACAAGGAGAGAACATGCAAACTCACATAAAGTCCGGGGCAACAGGGGTTCGAACTTGGGATCTTCTTTCTGTGAGGCCACAGCGCTCACATTCTCCATATACACTGCTCAAAAAAATAGAGGGAACACTAAAATAACACATCCTAGATCTGTATGAATGAAATAATCTCATTAAATACTCCTTTCTTTACTTAGTTGAATGTGCTGACAACAAAATCACACAAAAATGATCAATGGAAATCAAATTTATCAACCCCTGGATTTGGAGTCACACTCAAAATCAAAGTGGAAAACCACACTACAGGCCGATCCAACTTTGATGTAATGTCCTTTAAACAAGTCAAAATGAGGCTCAGTAGTGTGTGTGGCCTCCACGTGCCTGTATGACCTCCCTACAACGCCTGGGCATGCTCCTGATGAGGTGGCAGATGGTCTCCTGAGGGATCTCCTCCCAGACCTGGACTAAAGCGTTGGAGCGAGACATGATGTCCCAGATGTGCTCAATTGGATCCGGGTCTGGGGAACGGGCGGGCCAGTCCACAGCATCAATGCCTTCCTCTTGCAGGAACTGCTGACCCACTCCAGCCACATGAGGTCAAGCATTGTCTTGCATTAGGAGGAACCCAGGGCCAACCGCGGATCTCATCTCGGTACCTAATGGCAGTCAGGCTACCCCTGGCGAGCACATGGAGGGCTGTGCGGCCCCCCAAAGAAATGCCACCCCACCATTACTGACCCACGCCAAACCGGTCATGCTGGAGGATGTTGCAGGCAGCAGAACGTTCTCCATGGCGTCTCCAGACTCTGTCATGTGCTCAGTGTGAATCTTCTTTCATCTGTGAAGAGCACAGGGTGCCAGTGGCGATTTTGCCAATCTTGGTGTTCTCTGGCAAATGCCAAATGTCCTGCACGGTGTTGGGCTGTAAACACAACCCCCACCTGTGGACGTCGGGCCCTAATACCACCCTCATGGAGTTTGTTTCTGACCGTTTGAGCAGACACATGCACATTTGTGGCCTGCTGGAGGTCATTTTGCAGGGCTCTGGCAGTGCTCCTCCTTCTCCTCCTTGCACAAAGGCGGAGGTAGCGGTCCTGCTGCTGGGTTGTTGCCCTCCTACGGCCTCCTCCACGTCTCCTGATGTACTGGCCTGTCTCCTGGTAGCGCCTCCATGCTCTGGACACTACGCTGACAGACACAGCAAACCTTCTTGCCACAGCTCGCATTGATGTGCCATCCTGGATGAGCTGCACTACCTGAGCCACTTGTGTGGGTTGTAGACTCCGTCTCATGCTACCACTAGAGTGAAAGCACCGCCAGCATTCAAAAGTGACCAAAACATCAGCCAGGAAGCATAGGAACTGAGAAGTGGTCTGTGGTCACCACCTGCAGAACCACTCCTTTATTGGGGGTGTCTTGCTAATTGCCTATAATTTCCAGCTGTTGTCTATTCCATTTGCACAACAGCATGTGAAATTGATTGTCAATCAGTGTTGCTTCCTAAGTGGACAGTTTGATTTCACAGGAGTGTGATTGACTTGGAGTTACATTGTGTTGTTTAAGTGTTCCCTTTATTTTTTTAAGCAGTGTAGTTTAAGGACGCTGCTAAGACATTTTCTGTAGTTCATGGAGAATCTTTAGTAAATTATCACTATTCATGTTAAATGTTTATCATTATGAATATTTTAACCATTCATGGATACATTGCATTTAAAACACTGGGCCTGTATTTACCAGAAACCCACTGTGGAAGGTTCTCTTTATGTCTGTGTGTGGATTTGCATGTATGTGGACAAATCTGTGGCATCTTTAATCACTGGAAAAATTTGGCCCAGAACATTAAATTTGCATGCAAACCAAATTGTGTATTAAGTTGCGTGTTTTGGTTGTATCACCCAATTTTGCAGATCAATGCACAGTTCAGCCACATTCAGCTCATAGCTTAGGTATGATAGAGTGACAAAATGAGGTGTTGTGGCTTAACACAAATGACTTGCCAAAATATATATAACAATATATAAGGTTATAATAAATAATATAATAAGTTATAACACGCAGACAAAATACAATATAGTTTAGTCAGGGGAAGCTGATAGGCCACTACAAAGAGAAAGAGGACAGTTATAACTTCCTTTTTGTTGTTGGAGCCAGAAATCAGATTAATATAATGTACGACTTCATGGAGAAAAAGTACAAAAATAGGTTTTTTAGCGATGAATTTACATTTATGAATGTGAAATTTTGCCAACAGAATTAATAAATATATAATGAAGTACATATTTTCTTGACTTTGACTGTAAAAGCAAAATACAACATTCTCCCACAATAAGGCAAAGTCTTTATAAATATGTCAATGTTGAATCTGCTGAGGTTTTGCCAAAATGTTCTGGTGTGTGAACAATACCATACCACATCGGGGAGGGAGACAGAAGTAGGTGGAAGTCTGCTAGTATATCTAAAAAACATGATTGTGTCTGATGGAATGGTGTCAAATACAATTGCAAATTCTCCTGGTGTAACTGAAATGTTATATGCTGATAAAAACTTTCCTCCCCTCTCCATTAAATAGCTGGTCCACAAGCAGAATCTGATTGAGTACCCAATTCTCAAAGTGACTTGTTTTTATATATCTCTGTTATTCCAAATTAGGTACGTGTGAGGTGATAAATTATGCTTATAAATGATAGATTATGCTAAAAGGACCTGCTTGTGAAAAGTGGACAGTTTTACATGGTGTTTGTCCACATTGTACACCCGGCAGTAATCTCAAAGTTTCCTGGGGGCAGTTTCACAAAAGCAGAATTCAGAAATCCAGGATAAAAGAAAAAGTGGCTTAACCTAGTCCAGACAGTGCATCCTAGCATTATAAATCTCACGTTGGCCAAGCCAGGTTGAGGTGGTGTGACTAGGTAAAGTCAGGTGTAACTAAATTAATTGCACATTCACAGATGTCTTCAAGAGACCATGAGGTCAATCACAGATTTACTGATGCTGAAATGGAGAGAAAATCTTGTGGAAATACTTATGTAGTCCATATGGACAATATATAAGAAGTCAGTGATGAGGTGCTCATCAAAAATATCATATTTGTAACAGGACCGTGACACTGTACAGCCAGTCTGGCAATAAGAAACCTTGGCAGGACTAGGACCTATAGAGATAAAAGAGACACTGAGGAAATTGGACTTGGAAATCCAGAAACTAGAAAGAGAAGTCATACTTTCAATGCACAATGTATGCATGAATATAACACAATGTATTAATCATTTTTAATTTTCTTTCTCCCATGTTCTCAGCAGACAAGTGATACCAGCAAAATAAAAGGTTAAAAAAACATTGTGGTGTTCTCTCCCTGTTGTTTCATGAATGTACAGTGCACTATACAGCCAACTTATTGGTCCAGTGAACTAGGACTATAATTTGGGAGGAGAATACAAATTAAACCTAATAACCACAAATTGTGTACTACCAATGCCAAAAAGAATAAATACACATGGAAGAGTAACACATGATCCTTTATTGTTAAAGAAAAGGCTACATCAAAAAACAACAAATCCACTTAAATAATAATTGATGTATTGGTCTCTAACCAGTCTGCTATTGATGTTATCAGGAAATATTGCAGAATTGCCCCAGTCAATCTCCAAGGCCACTCAGTGCCAGAGAATTCAACTATATATATTTTATTGTTTTATATTTTTTAACCTGTAATTCATGTTTCCAGCAATATAATTGCTTTTAAATATAGCACATTCTTGTATGGCCAGGGAAGATAATGAAGATATGTGAAAATCCTTTAAATGGCAATTATATACAGTGTGTGTGTGTATATATATATTTCTGATGAAGTGGCAAATACTGGCTTTGCTCAGTGGCTTTACTTAAATGGAATAAATAAAATAAATACCACAAATAGCATACATATTGTGGTACATGTGCTATTTTGATGCAGGATACTAAAAAATAATGCAAATCATATAAGAACATGGAATAACTGAAAAGTAGTTTCTCATCAGAGTGACCGCTGACTGAACAGATAAGGCATACAAAACAATTTGATAGAAACAAAACAAAACTAGAACTGCAAGTAGTTGTAAGCGGGGTCCAAGCCTCCTGGTGCAAGCTGCCCCATCTGGCCCCGCGCCAACTAGGGGCTAACTGTACCAAATTTTGCACAGCCCCTCAGGGGGGCATGGCACATAAGGTCGTCAAGTTTTGTGTTGATCGGCCTTTCCAAGCCAGAGATATGTTATAGTTCCTTATTTTTAGCGTTTTCGCAAATATTTGTTAGCTTGTAATTGGGACATTTTTTGTCAGATCATAATTCCCTCTACAAACTTTGTTTGGCTTGGTCCAGAGATGGTCCGTGCCAAGTTTCGTGTCGATCGGACTTGCGGCTTCGGAAGAATGAATTAAAATAGGTTTTACAGTTTTGGCGATTTAGCGAAATGACGTCATTGCACAGAGGCGTGTCCTATACCATCAGAATCGGCAGCATCCCCCAAACATGTAGACATAAGGTTTATGAACGTGCGATGTATTGGCGTGTAGTTATGAGGCAAAATGTCCTTTGGTTGAAAATCCAATTGAAATGAATGGTGTCTTTGAGTTTTGATTGTAGTGCCATCTTTAAGCCAAATTGCACCAAATGTTTGAGGTGTCATCAGGGCCCCATGGGGAACAATTGGCCCAAATTTGGTATGAATCGGTCTTGTGGTTATGGCGATATAAAATTCATTTAAGTCAAAGGGATTTTTTGTCAATTGGCCATTCCAAAGCAAAGATATAACATCACTTCCTTTTTATAGCATTTTTCGCAAACATTTATTAGCGTTTCATCTTAACAGTTTTTGTCGTATCAAAATTTCCTCTACAAACTTTCATCAGCTTGGTCCAGAGAAGTTTGGTGTCGATCGGACTTGTGGCTTCAGAGGAGTTAATTAGTTATCGCGATTAATAAGTTTTCGCGATGTAGCAAAAAAAAGTCTAGGCGGAAATGGGCGTGGCCTATACCATTACATTCAGCTCGATCCCCCGAACGCATGGATATAAGGTTTTTGATATGCACTCCCTAGTGGTAGAAGTGTGCAGATTTTTGCGCCTGAGGTACTTGCAGTAGTTTGGACCTACCATATGCGTTTCGTGTCTGTAGCATTTACCGTCTAGACTACAGTATGAGTTTTAGCGGCGGAATAATGAAAATCCTAACGATTTCAATAGGGTTCCCAGCTCTGCTGGTACAGGGAACCACAATGCCTTGCTGGGCAGCCGGGTTTGGACCCCTAACAAAACACTATATTGAGGGACAATACAAAGAATTGCTTGCAAACATGTTAATACAATGTCCAAGGACTTTAACAAATGCATTCCTTTATGTTGCCCTTACATAGTCCATCCATCCATCCATCGTCAACCGCGGGGGCCCTTACATAGTGAACAAGTGATTTATAGTTTACACAGCCTTGAATAACAATTTTTTCAAGACTGTTGAAAAGTTGTTCTTACACTACTATTGTATTCTTTACTGTGTACACTTTGCAGTTGCATTGATACTGTAGCTTTACAGTGCCACTAAGAAAGGAGTTAGTGTTAACATTTAAAGAAAAACAAAAGATTTACTTCCTGAAACCTAACCTAACCTTCTAACTTACTCTACATTCTCTATTTATTCTATCTGTGATGAGGCCTCTAGTTTATGTTCTGGTTCTAAAACACTCAATTTACAGAAACTTTTAACTTTGAAGGATACATGGGTTGGGTAGAACTAAAGGCTGTAGGACATTTCTTCTATCTATAGACACATTGGGAAAAGTTATTGATGAAGAAACCCAAACCTGTATGAAAGTCCTAAAGTCTGGATTATTGAGGAATTTTAATGGTTTAAAGTCATATTGTATATTCTTCTTTGGTCCCATTATTACACAAATATCACATCTGAGGGCCTGAACACCTGTGAAGAACTGATGATCAGGGCATGTACTTCATTCCTTTCATCCTAGGAATTATATTTATATCTCTGATGTCATCATGCTGAAGCAACCAACACAAGTAGCGCTCCGTCCCCATGCCCCATCCACTGGTGAGGAGTGGTTTCACTTGCCGCATGTTAATGTACCACTTGTAGGACTGCTCTGGCACGGCATGGTGCCTGAGGGCCTCTTGTACCATCTCAGGGGTGGAATGACGTTCGCCAAGACCCACAGTCTCACCCAGCCCCAGGAGAAGGTCAGCAGCTTTGGCTTTAACCCGCCCAGTGCCCTCCACATATGCCTGGTAGAAGGGAACTCCCAAATGGTCCATTTCAGTCAGCCACACAGCACCACCATATTTTTCGATCAAGACCCGCTCTCCTTTGCGTGTTAGCTTTCTGCCAAACCGGGGCTGGCCATCTTGGACCCACTCTAGGCAGTCAGCAGAGGGCATCATGGGAATGGCCTGGTCTAGAGAGATTCTTGGCAGTGCTGTTTTTCCATCCAGCTTGCTCAGCATGGCTGTGACATGTGCAAGGGTCCCGGCAGTGTTTAGGATCATATCACAGTGTTTCTTCAGCATAGCCTTGGTAAGGTGAGCCAGGAATCCCTCCGCTATGGACATGGCCTTGTCCATGTCACCCAACAGTTCACACTCCACGTGGTAAAACTGGTTCAAGTGTGTGGCATCAGGGTCTTCCCCTCTAAAGCTGGGAGAAATGTAGTACGTCCCTGGCAGGTTCTCTTGGAAGCGAAGGAAGTATTCAAGCACAAATTGCATTGAGTCAGCCAGGTAGATGTCCTGGCCCAGCAGGTTAACAGAAACTGGTTCTGAGTCAGATCCTAGGCCCATTGGTGAGGAGATGGTGTCTGTGGTGAGAGGGGTTAGAGCATAAGAGTACTGGCAGGAACTGTGAAAATATTCCACTGTGCTGTGGAAAAGAGTGTCTTGAATCTGGAACAGGTTGCGATACCACGGGCTCTTGATGGCAAGTGTGGAGTGAGACTGAGGGTCTTCCCATGAATGAGGAGGCCTGCACTCTGTAATTTTTGAGTGGATCTTTTTGAGGGCCCCAGGGTCAGCTGCTGGCCCATCCAGTGATGACACATATCCAGGGTAGCTTTGGAAGCACTCTGGTTGCAGTTCAGCAGGATTAGTGCCATCTGGTGAAGGTAACACAGGGATCAGCTTGGCATGAGCATAGTCAATCTCAAAGCCCTCAAAGATCAGTGCAACGCCTCGAGCTCTCATCCCCTCTTCCAGTAGTCGGGCAACTTTATAAGTGGCTAAGATCAGTGCTTTGTAGTCAGCTTCCTGTAGTTTGAAGATGTCACTGGACAGTGGTTTGCGTGGCACCACAACAGTGAGTCCAGGAGTGTTTGGGTATGGTGTCAGGAAGGCAACATGCTCACTGTCTTCCCACACTCTCCACTGTTGCTGCTCTCCACGCACAATACGACTGAACAGGTTATCATGGGAAGCGTCTCCAAAAAAGTCAAAGCAAGGGGGTGCATTCGGTGTTGGCAGTCCATTTCTAATCTTGGCTTGAACCTGGGCCAGTGCCTCATCATCCCAGTGTGGGCCACTTTTTGAGGTGCAGTAGCCAGGATGGAATGTGTGGAATTCTTCTTCATTGGCTAGATGGGGCTGCCACTTTGGCTCTATACCATGAAGCGGTAGCAGTCTGATTTGTGCTGGCTGATCAGGTATTGGATTGAAAACCAAGGCACAGCGCTGCACTCCCAATCGCTCACATAGCAAGCTTGCCACAGCTTTTGCTGCTTGCAGCATAGCAACAAAATCAGGTGTAGCCAACTGGAAGATGCTGCTTGCCCCATTAAGAGTTTTTTTAGTCAGAATGGTTGAACCAGGGATCCAGGGGCTGGGATCAAGGTAGGCAACCAGCTCATCTGTTTCCCAGATCACATCAGAGAAGCTCTTCAGTGGCCTTAGGACCTCTACTCGTGAAATGCCACTTCTCATGGAGGCCACAAACATCACAGCAGCATTTGTTTCAATGATGCCATCACCTTTAGTGTCCACTGCAATGATTCCTGCACAGATCCCATACAGATTTTCAGCCATCACTTCTCTACATGCCTGCCTAAGGCTATGGCCTTTGTGGTGGTAGAGACTGGCTATTTTCTGTGCAACTGTTTGCCTCAGAAATACATCTCCATCTCCAGAGCAGGTAATAGCTACCTTGTCATCAGCATATATTCCTGCCCCTACTACTGCCGTATCCCCAACTCGCCCTTTCAGCTTTCCTACCAACCCACCTGTGGAGGATGCAGCAGCCAACCCATGCCAACGATCCAAGGCCACAGCTCCAACTGTCTGAGGATGATTGTTTTTTGAGGCATTTCCACTACTGAGATTTGCAGTTAGCTCTCTGTGACGTATATCAGTGTAGAAATACTCAGGCCCAACAGGTTTCTCTTTCTCCTCCAACCCTTGCAGAAACTCCTCAGCCCCATCTCCCACAATGAGTGAATGTGAGCTTTTCTCCATGACATATCTGGCAGCTTTTATCGGGTTCTTCACACTTTGCACACAAGCAACAGACCCTGACCTCATTGCATTGCCATCTACAATGGTTGCTTCCATTTCATTTTTGCCATCTTTGTTGAATACTGAGCCTTTACCTGCATTGAATAGGAAGCAGTCCTCCAAAGCTTCTACTGACCTCTGAACTGCATCCAGACTCCTGCCACCTTGTTGAAGCACTTGGGATCCAAGGGTTAAGGCTGTTTGTAGAGCAAACTCAATAGCCCCGATCACTTCTGTGTTCAACATCATCACCTCTCCGGCACCACCATGGATCACTAGAGTATAGTCTGGGCTCTCTGGGTGGTGATCTCTCTCTCCATTCATTTCCTCTCTTTGACCCTGTTGGAGCAAACACTCCAGGGCTCCCATCTGGTATGCAATGGCATATCTAACAGCTAGACGCATCACTAACTTCAGGTTTTTCTTAAGGCTTTCTTGAAGCTTCTCCAATGCCAGAGCAAAGCTCCCTTTCCCATTAAGCACAATGCGAACCTTGTCTCTTTTACCGAGGTAGGTTACAGCAAGCTGATCTTGGGCATAAACATTCCCTACGCCACACTCCACACCTTCCATCAGATCTGTACCCGTGAGGTACACAGCTGGACATCCAAAGGGGTCCAGGAACTTCTTCAGTGGGTTGTCAGATGGCAATGATCGACGCAGGGCAGCTAGGTGGGGTCCAACTCCCTGACCCCTTTTGGTGTTTTTGATGAGGCTCTTATGCTCCAAAAATGCAACATGGAACAAGCGTAGGAGGTCAGTAGTGTATTGGATTGTGTCATCTGAGCCAACACAGGCTTCCAAGGCACGTACTAACTGACGAGAATGCATGGTGAGTGAGTAAGTAGGATCACATCGGCCATGTTTGTAGTGGCGCATATGGGTAGGTGTTACAAGCATGTGTTTGGCAGCAGATTCCCCAAGAGTCTGCCTCAGGGAAAGCTGCAAGGAGAAGTTGATCCAAGCATCATACAAGCCTCTCTGTCCTCTGAGAGTAGAAAAGACATCAGGATAGGAGGGCACATCAAATGTGAGAACTGGATGTGTTGCTTTTAAGTTAGGGCTCGGATTGGGGGTATTTACTCCTTGCAAGGGGAATGTTAGGGACGCGGGGTAAACAGAAATAACACTGTTTACTATGATAGACCTATTCAAATTTTCTGTGTCAGTATGGACTAGGTTTAAATCAATAGTTTCTGACAGATTGTACACACGCTTAGTCACAAGACCAGCCACCATCCCATCCACAGCACTGTGTTCAAATACAATCCCAGCTGTGCCGTCCTTGAATACCACCAGGTTCATCACCTGTCAAAAAATAGAACAACACATATGGGTTTTAAGTCCACTTTAAATCAGTAAGTACTGTGACCATCTCTTACAGCACTAATAACTTATGCCTTATGCTTATGCCTTCACACTTTTACTAAAATATTTATACATGTTTTACTTTAAAAGTTTTGTGTATGTGTGTGTGTGTGTGTGTGTGTGTGTGTGTGTGTGTGTGTGTGTGTGCGTGTGTGTGTGTGTGTAAAAGAGGCAAGGAATCTGATTTCAGCTTGGATCGTTTTCCAAATTCTATCCAATACCTTGTCATAGTATCTGAGGCATGGACTGCCTCCTCCTCCTCCCAACCTCACTGCATTGAGGATATCAGCCAGCTCAGAGGGTGCGTTGCATTCCTCCAGGCAGAGTGTCAGAACAGCACTCTCCATCAGCCCCAGTGATGCCGCTGCATCCCCTCCTTGCTCCAGGATCTCTTCCCTGGTGGCAGCCCAGGCTTTGCGCTCCAGAGCTGAGAGGCTGCAAATGACAGAGGGATCATTCTGTCTTCCTGCACTGGGTTGATCCATCACCTGAGTCAGCTGTTTGTAGATGTCATTGAACGATCGAGCTGAAACTGGACCCCCGGTACTGGGACGCCACAGTATGTCAACAGGGAACACTCCTCCAACACAGGTGATGATAGCATGGAGGCTATCTGGGTAGACCTGGAAATGAAATGACAAAGCTACAGCTCAGAAATAGCTCTAAAACATAAAGAGCCATTTCACATCAGGCCAGAAAGCTGTGTTTGCTGTGCTTTTTGGTTAACAGTTTCAAGCATCTCTGACCACACCCAGCAGTGAGGGGTCCTGGAGTAAACCTGTACTTCACTGCAGCGAGGTAGCAAGTTAAACCACTGGTGGTCAGCAATGAAAAAATGTATGCCTTTTCAGAAGTGCTTGTCGAATGGTTGAATAACTTCATAAACCCCTCTCTCCTCCTTTAAATTTCTGAATTTTGGATCCAACCCTTACAGGTATGATGGGTAGGTAGGTCCAAAAAGAAACTAATTTAAGATTCATCAGTATGTAATGTACTGCCTGACAACTTCAAACTGAAAATCTTCTTTCCAGTTGTGTTTTGTCAGTAATCTCACCTTAATCTCATCTTGAATCCTGCCAGGAATCCGGCTGGCAGCGAATACCTCACCCTGCTGTGTGCGCTCCATTGGCACATTGCCCTCCAGTAACAAGGGCTCACTGTACAGCTTTGCTGCTGCCCAGAGCAGAGCGGCTGCCCTCTGCAGTTGGGTACATTGCTTTACTTGGGAAGGAAGAAGAACAACAGGCAGGGCTGTGGAAGTGGGCAGGGGGTCAGCACAGGACAGCAGAGCTCTCTTGAACTGCTCCGTCACCCAGTTCTCTTGGCCTGCAGCAATAGTTGCTATTTTTTGGTGGGCCTCTTGAAGGAGCTCCCTCTGCTGTTCCATCGTGCATTTAAACTCAGGGTAAAGGTCAGGACTTAAAGTGAGCTGCAGGACACGGCTCACTTCTTGCAAGGTAACATCCAACTCTGGAACAGGGTAGTCGAGAAGGGTCATCCTGTTGGTCTGGAGGAGGCTTGACAGAGAAGGAGAAAAAGAGAGAAGGAATCAATGGTGATGCCAGGAACTTTGCTTGTGGTCATTTGATGGGTGGCTCTAAGAATTACATTACATTTACTTTTTTAGGTTGACCTTTTTGATTTTTGTGTCTCATCAAATCAGAATAGTGCCATGAAATTTGATAGAGCCATTCCTGTTCCCCATCTGTTTTTTCTTCCACCATCATTATTTCACATCAGTTGTTGATTTGTCCAACACTACAAAACTAATGCCATTCCAATCAGCCTAGCCGTGCTTTATATTTAATGCTAATTAGCAAATGTTAGCATGCTAACATGCTAAACTGAAATAGTAATATGGAGGCAATATAGCAAATAACATACTGATGCTAAACATCAGCATGATAGGATTGTCAGCTGTTATCTATTTAAATTCCCAAGCAAATTTGGATTATAAATTTGATATGTCGCAAAAAATAATAAAAGAATAACTGTATTAGGTGTTTTCAATCAACTGGTTTGGAGTATATAAACTAAGCTAAAGTGTAGTTTTCTCAGGAGTTTGTGGTATATGCTACGTTAAACATGGTTGTAATTAACAACGTAAAAAAAGTAGAGGTCGGAAACAAAACAAGTTCTTTGCCTGCCGCCAATAAAAAGACAAAAAGAAGAAGAAGATACAGAACAAGCCGCTATGGCCATCTGCAAGAAACACCTCAGGTTTTGTACAGACACAAACATACTCATACACACTCATACGCACACAAACTGGCATAATGCAATATATCATATCACACAACAAGCGCCCCTTCTCATTACCCTTTACTGCACGCCTCCTTCACATGATGTCCAACCTTTCTCAAATTAGTGGGACCAGTAAGTCAATTATCTGATTTATTTGTTAAAGGTACTGCTGAGTCTAACACAAGCGACAACCTCCAGGGCTGATAAATGAAGCCAATGCCGAAGTACCAATAACAACAGATCCTCAAATGGGCACTTGGCTGGCTCCAAAGTGAGTCAGTCCCATGTTAAAATGCCCCGCTTTATAGTTTGTTGCCTGGTACAAAAAACAGTTTTGGCCTCTATAACTAATTTCCCCCCTTCATGACATCTGTACAGGGGGTGAATTTTAAGTAAGGTTATGGCCTATGGGTGACATCACAGACACTACGTCCATGTCTTATACAGTCCATGGTCTTAACACAAGTCTCTTTGTGTATTAATGTGAATGCAATGGAATGCATCCAGATTTTACTTTAGTAGGTATACAGACCCTAGTAATAACCGATAACTAAGCTCATCTGCTCACACGTGAAAGTAGTTGGTCCCTCTTAACCAATTCACACAAAATTATAGTTTCGCATATTTATTGTTGCTGGTTGTCAAGGGAATGTACCCCCAGCAGTATGACTGTTGGAAAATTAGATTTCTTCTGATTTGCCTCATCAGTTTAAGTCATCCATACAATGCTGGCTGTCTTTATTTTATCTGAGGATGGATTCAGGTTCAGCAAGGATACTGGTCTTGTGATTCCAATAGCTCAATTACTGAATATCAGCAGTACTACCAGTACTACAAGTACAATGCATTGCATAATACATATTTTTTTAATGTAACAGGACATTTGGCTTATATTTCTTAAGCTTCAAATTAGCAGATTTTATAGACAGTAAAATTGTTTTTAATCATAATGTTAAACCAGACAAAATCAAGATGTAAAAAAAATATTCAAAAATTTGAACCTTTTTTTCTTATTCTAAATATATACAATAAGGGTATTTTCACCCAAAGTATGTAAACATATTTCCTTATTTAACTCCACTGGTGTGGGCCATGGAGAGGTTTCTGTTTTATCTGCTGAGGTTTTGAGATTTCCGTCTCTAAGATTTCTGTCATAAGGTACAGTAAATTGGAAAAAACCTTACCAGCAACATTTCATTCCAGAAACAAAATCCCAATTACAGAAATGGCTGTCAACGGCTTACATTAGAAAAAACTTTCTACTAAGTAAATACTTTCTATGAAAACAATGCAATATTAATAGATATCGGGTATTATTTCCATAACATTACTACTTTTTTGCATTATTCACAAACATTTTTATTCCAGAAAAAATTCTGCTTACCTCGATATGGCAATTTCACTAAGATCTGACCAGTTGGTAGGGTGGCAGAACAGTCAGTGGGAAGAAAACTTGGTTGGACTACAGAATCAAGGGTTTGTCTATAATAAAAAAGCAGTGACTCCAATTAACCAATTCAGATTCTATCCTCCATTCTCTCTCTCACTCTCACTCAATGTGCACAGTCTCTCTCTGTCTGTCTCTTCCTCCCTGTCCCAGTCTGTTTATACCCTGTTTCATATAACTTTGCATGTCTGTCAACATGGTACAAAGTGCCTTATATGACTCTTCCTCCTTCTGTCTCATTCAGAGAGTGTAAACACTTTCAGGAGTGAATCAAATTTGAAATAAAACTTTTTATGTGCCCAAGTGACCACAAATATCAAGACTCCTATTCAGTATAAGTGGTTATTCATCTCTCACTGAATATGGAAGAAGAAGAAGAAGTCGTTTGGTTTGTTAGAAGTAAGAAGAGAAGTGGAATTTGGAAAAATGGAGGACCACAAGTATTGTTTAGCACAAGAGCCGACAGAGCATGTCAGCCACCGTAGCTTCTCCTTCGCGCTTGCAAAGGGAGGGGTGAGCAGTGACTGAACCATTGGTTGCAATTCACAACCTTCACCACTAAATGCCACTAAAACTGTCTATGTTTAATTTGTCTTTATTTAACATCAACATAGAGAAAACGTGTCTGATATATACAGTAGATACACTTGTATAGATGGTTTAAAAAATTGGTCGTTGCATTACTTAGATCTTTTACTTTAACTGAAGTAGCAGTACCACAGTGTAGAAATTACAAGAAAAAGTACAAAAGTACAACAAAGTATTAGCATCAAACTATATTTAAAGTAGGACTACCAAAAGGAAAAGTAGGTACTCATTATGTAGAATGGCCCGTTTCAGAGTAATTTCTATTATATCATTGGATTGCAATTATTATCAATGTGCACATCATAGGTAAAGGTGGAGCCAATTTGAACTACATTACATTTACATTTAGCTGACACTTTTATCCAAAGTGACTTACAATTGCTATCTATTAGAGGTTGCAAGCATCTGGAGCAACTAGGAGTTAAATGTCTTGCTCAGGGACACATTGGTGGCTGTGTCACTGTGTACCTGGGCATGTGTCTTATCCACTGCTCCATCGCCACCCCACTACTACTGCTGCTATTAATCTATAATAATGCATCATAATGTGTTTGTGGATAATATTTTTTATTGCTAAATAAATGTAGTAGAGTATAAAAGTACAATGTAAAATAAAGGTGCTGGGAATCTAGAAGCACACAAAGCCAATAAAAGTACCCAATTAAAGTTCAATAACATAGTTGCATTGTTACCACTACATCTGTCAATCGCAGAGGCTCTATCCACAACCTGGAGGAGTAACTTGTATAAATTAGTGTATTACTACATTATAGATTATAACATTAAATAAAACGTATGTGGAACAGGCAGCTTGTGAGAAGTCCCTGTACTCTGCGTACCAGTGAGTACTGGCCCACTTCAAGCACTACGTTTGGGCATTTTTTACTCTAGCTGCTGCTCTGTCTCTTAGCTGTTGCTGTGGTGCTGAAGGTCTTGATTGAGATGCATTTTGACTAATCTTTGCGAGAAGTACATTTAGGCCTATATGACCGACCAATGGTGGCGTGTGAGAAGACGGGACCTAAAGAAAAAAGTTAAAGCAATGCAAAGACTCAACAACCCAACATTTAGGGCCATTTAGAAATCCCAGCTGGACGCATTTTTTAGGTCCCAAAAAGAGAACATGTCCGGGAAAAAGAGGACCGGTCACCCTATTTAATCTGAACAAACTTTCATAAACTGAACAAAATTATAAACGCAACACTTTTGTTTTTGCCCCCATTCATCATCAAGACTCTATGTATTTCTCTGTGTACACAAAAGGCCTATTTCTCTCAAATATTGTTCACAAATCTGTCAAAATCTGTGTTATTGAGCACTTCAACTTTGCCAAGATAATCCATCCACCTCGAACAATCTCGGCGGTGAAGATGCTGGATGTGGAGGTCCTGGGCTGGTGTGGTTACACGTGGTCTGCGGTTGTGAGGCCGGTTGGATGTCCTGCCAAATTCTCTGAAACGCCTTTGGAGACGGCTTATGGTAGAGAAATGAACATTCAATTCACGGGCAACAGCTCTGGTGGGCATTCCTGCAGTTAGCATGCTAATTTCACACTCTGTCAAAACTTGCAACATCTGTGGCATTGTGCTGTGATGGAACTGCACATTTTTGAGTGGCCTTTTATTGTGGCCAGCCTGAGGCCCACCTGTACAATACCCATGCTGTCTGATCAGCATCTTGATATGCCACAGCTGTGAGGTGGATGGATTATCTTAGCAAAGGAGAAGTGCTCACTAACACAGATTTTGACAGATTTATGAACAATATTTGAGAGATATAGGCCTTTTGTGTACATAGAGAAAGTCTTAGATCTTTGAGTTCAGCTCATGATGAATGGGGGCAAAAACAAAAGTGTTATAATAATCATAATATTTTTTTTATTTAGCCTATGATATTTCATAAATAAAATGTAGCTCAAAAATGGTGATGATTCAATTAGACTTTCCCTTACAAATGCGGACCAGGTCATGACAAGGTGTAGCAAGTCAAAAGCAGAGATAATTAAGGGCAAGGGATACTTATTTTTGTCTGTAATGTTGTTAAGACCCCGATAATCTATACTGTATGCCATCTTTTTTTACAAACAAAAAAGAAACCTGCTCCAACCAGTGATGATGAGGGTCGGATTATTCCTGCTGCCAAAGAGTCCAGTATAGACTTCTCCATTTCTTTCTCAGCTGCTGGGAAGCGAAAAGAAGAGATTCTCAAAGTGAGGGGAACAGTCAGGTTAGATACTCGGGCCAAAAGCTGTCCATTCAAGGCCTTAGCCTCCATCGGGCAATCTATAGTCACTGTCTTAATGTTCATCTGCCACTGGAGGGAGGCATGGAGCTGCAAACAGGGCTGAGCGATACTAGCTCTTCGGTTATTTCTCTCACTACCGGTGAGACTCTTTTACTGGGCGAATGGGACAAGCAAGTGACGAGACATACCACAATATAGACAGATTAAGAACTGATGCACTGGGCTCGCTGCTTGGGGGTTAGCTACCTTGGCCTACTTCCATGGGCTCGGGGTCGGGAAGCCTTGTGCACACTCGGGGCTGTTCTCCGGAGGGGGTCGCTAAGGAGGTGCCGAGGAGTAACTGATACAAGGAGGCCCTCTCCCTGTGGCACTCCCGGAGATGATTGTCAACTCTGATGGCAAGAGAAATTAACTGATCGAGAGAAGAGGTTTCATCTTGTATTGAGATACAAGTTCACCTGTAATAGTTTCAGACAGTGCATTTTGAAATACTCCCAGCAAGGACTCGTCATTCCATCTGCTCGCTGCACCTAGAGTGCGGAAATCTTCACATCTCCTCCACACTCTGATCCCATATCTCCATCATAATGCTTAGGAGCTAATACATACGGCTCCTGAATGTTGGCAGTCAGAGTCGAGTCGAGTCAAGTTCCAAAAAGCAACTCTCAATCCCCAACTGTGCGGAGCCATGACAGGAGCACAGTTGGCTTCAGTCCTGACGAGAGAGCTCACTCTTGACATCCAGGAGGTGGTGTACTGGAAAGACACAGTGCTTAACTGGCTCCAGTCAGATTCATGTCAATATAAAGTATTTGTGGGACATACAAGAGCTATCTGACCCTGAAGCCTGTCACTATATCGACTCAGCAACCAATCTTCCTGATGATATTACAAGAGGGAACACTAGCTCAGCTTGCTGGAGAGAATCCCTGGAGGTATGGGCCACCCTTTCTTCTATTGCCAGCAAAGCATTGGCCATTCACTAACAAGGTCCACGCCAATATTACGTATAAAATGTAGATTCAGGGTGGGGGCTCATCTCGATAAGCGACTTGCTTATGAACCCCCTGTGGTTCCTGTTGTAGAAAATTATGGATTTTAGCGTGCCTGTCTTTCATGGTGGGAGGAAACTGTAGCATCTGGGGAAAACCCATGCAAACACAGGGAGAACATGCAAACTCTGCACAGAAAAGCCTGGGCTGAGAGAGGTCTAAACCCAGGACCTTCTTGCTGTGAGGCCACAGTGCTGTCCACTGGGCCACTGTGCTGCCCAACAAAGAGGTGAGAAAACAGGGTTTGAGTCGAAGGGCTGTGAGAACTGAGAAACGGTGGAGAAAGGGGTTGGATACATGTGATTGGATTAGAGAGGCACAGGTGGATGAAATGAGTGAAGTGCGGGTGGTTGATTGGAGGAACTGAATGAGGCGCAGGTGGTCGAATTAGTGAGAGAGAGGCGTGGTCCTGTTCTTGAACTTTAGTTATATAACTCCATATAGAAGTTCAGCACATATCAGGAAATCCTGGAAGCCACTGCACATTCGATATGCAAGGCGACTGACTGCTCACCCTGCAGCTGACAACTTTTGTAAAGTGGAGTTGGCCCTCTTGAAACATACTCAGATGGAGAGCTTTCCCAAAGAGTTTGTGCTAATCAAATCAGGAAAGACCATCCCTGCAAGCAGCGGATTGGTTACCCTTGCTCCCGAGTACGATGAGTCTTCTGACCTGATCTGAGTGGGAGGTAGACTCCACGGGTGTAACAGCTTGAGCCAGGAAGTTCTCCTAGCCCCCCTCACCAGGTCACAAAGCTCTTAATTCAGCACTGTGATAACAAGTTGCATCACCCTGGTGCCAAACGTATCTTTGCTGAGCTGTGCAGGAAGTACTGGATATTGAGATGTAGAGAAGCAGTGAGGAAGCATCAACACAACTGTCCTTAGTGAAGGAACTGGAGAAGCCAACCGCATGGCAGATTTGCCCCCCTCAAGTTTCAGGCTCTTCCAAAATGCCTTCTATTCAACTGGAAAAGACCGATTTGGCCTGATGCTCGTCAAAGTCAAAGCCGCACTGAGAAAAAGTTGGGGCATCCTGTACAAGTGTCTTACCACCCGGGCAGTCAACCTAGACCTGCTGGTGAATATGGATTCTGATTCCTTTCTAATGTCCCTCAGACACTCGCAGGGAAAGCCCTTTGAGTTGTTAT